TAAGAAACTGACTATCACAATGCAGAAGCTATGATTCAGGGACTTCGTGTGAGTTCCATGAATCTCTTAAATGCCAACATTTGAAGGATGAGGTATCTATAAGGTAAAAGTAATGACTCATGATGAGAGTGTTTGAAATAACATATCTGTATCAAAGCTACTCACTCAAGTCCACCTACACCCCATGCAGTAATTCAGCAAATGGGTGGCCCTATTCAAAGGTGATTAATAATCATAAATATCAATAATCTTCATTATTAATTAAACAGATGGTTACTAATCAGGACCCATGCATAGAAATTTTAAGATAAGAGGAGGACAACTACATGAGTAAAGAGGAGATAAACCATAATTAGAAGAGGAACTATTTAAGGGAAAAGTAGAACAACTCTGGCAAATAGTTCTCTAGAGTTCCAAAAAAATTAAGACAAGATAATTGCTCTAAATAAATAGTCTAAAGAACTGACGAAAGAAATAGAAGAAAGCAAGCTGGTAGTGCTTAAAGAGCAATAAAAAAAGGAAGGATGTAGAATGTAAGATATATTAGAAACAACAAGGAAGGTAAATAAATATGACTGAAAACATAGTCAGGCGTATGGTAATGAGGAGGCCACAGAAGCAGTGATAGAGTGGGACAGCAACCACAGAGAGCCAGCAAATGTGCAGTTCGCATCACTAAATTAAACAGACCAGTGTAATGTAAAAAAATATTCAGAGATGTAATAAAAAGTAACTTCTTGAAACAAAGGCTCAAATATGAAGATAGAAAACTCATACTCTGACTCAGAAAAAAAACTGATACAAAAATATCAACACAGAGCCACATCCTAGTGAATTACCAGATTTATTACTTAAAGAAAAATCATGAGAATTTCCAAACAGAAAAGATAGAAAACTGAGTCTGTCTTCAACCTTCTTCAAAAAATTAAGTACCAAAAGAGAGCAGTAGAATGATTATAGAGTTCTGAGGGAAATAGAGTGGTCTAGGATTTTTATACCCTCCGAAGCTACCCTTTCAGCATATAAGTAATTAACATGATCAAGCCTTCAAAACCTCAGGAAATAGAGTCTCCATGATCCTATTTTTAAATTTTTATGATAATAAATATGAATCCCTTTAAGTGTAGTAATAAGACTACACCATAGAGACATGATTACAGAACAAAATATAAATGTTGTATACATTTGACAATCTAAAAATCATGAAAACAGGAAAGAAAGAAAAGATGTGGGAAAATACTAATATACTATAATCTCATCTTTCATTGCAAAGAGTCAGTGTCTAAACATCATCTTAAGCTAAAACATGTATTACAAATATATCCTAACCTAATTTTTTCATCAACATTTTTTCCTCATTTAGAAGTGCATATCTGTTGTTGTCAAGAAATGTTACCACCAGACATTTCCAATTCTTTCAGTTTTATTTATTTTTCTCTAAAAGTCAAGTAAAATTAAATGTAATGTTTTTATTTTAAGGTAGCATGAGTATCATTCCCTTTTAGCCAAATGTACCACTATTTAGAACTCTATCTGTAGTATCTGTAAACATCCATAAAAAGATGTCAGGAATCATGATTACCAAATGTTAATGATAGTTATTTATAGATGGGGAATTTGGCATTAGTTAAATTTTTATTCTGTGTATTTTCTGTATTTGGATGTTTTAAAATCAATGTGTATCATTTTTATAGTAACAGCAAAGTCATTATCCTTTTAGAAAGAAGAAAAATCTATACTACAGACTGAAAAACTAAAATGTAGGTAGATAATGAGCACTGAAGACACCTCAGTGCAAAAAAGGTTCTGCTGAACTGACAAGTGATTGGAGACGGCCAGCGGTAGGGTGGGACATGCAGGGAAATAACAGTGGTTGGCCAGATTTCAACTTCATTCATTTGACAAACATTTATTGAACACCTACAGTGTATGAGCAGTTCTACTAAAGACTAGGGTTTCAAACTCAAATAAAATATAATCTTTGCTCTCAAGGAACTTAAGAGTCATTTTATAGAGTCTGGTGTCTGACCCTTCTATTGTCATGTGCACTGAATAATTCTGTGTTGTGAAAGGCTGTCCTGGGCATTGTTGGGTGTTTAGTGATATTTCTGGCCTCTACTTGCTAGGTGCCAGAAGCACCCCTGCCTGTGACAGTGAAACATGTCTTCAGGCATTGTCAAACCTTCCCAAACCCCAGTGGTTTCTGCTAAACGGAGTATGAACTCTTCAGCCTAGAATTTTCAGCCTAGGGAAGGGAGGGTGCTAAATCACCCCTTGCAGCTGAGAACCACTGTTGTAGATGGGTCACACCTGTAGGGATAACAAGCTGTAATCAGTGCTCTATCAAGAGTCTGTAATGGGTTAGCGTGGAGGGAGGGAGGGATCAGGGCCACATTGCTTAGCGGGGGTTAGGGTTGGTGGGGTGTTGGCTCTTTCTGAGCCGAACTTTACTGAAATTAGAAGACTGTTGTGCTATGGTTCATGAAAAGCAACTGTAGCCTCCAACTAAAGCATGGCCCTCAGTTCTACTCCATCTAGAGGGCTGTTGGTCATGCTTACGTGGCACTACTGTAGGAGCACCATTAATTGCAATGAATGAGTTTGCTGTTAAGATTCAGGGTTAATGTCATGCTTTATTTACCATTAACAATGTTCTGCTTTTTTCCTGGGAATCCTGTGTCCCAAACCAGTCTATACCTATCTAGGAAAGTGGCCCTGGTTAACCACCCAAAAGCCAGGCTATGGGGGACCAAGGAATTGAGTTTTGGGTCTTCTTACTTTCAGGTCTTCTTTGGGGAGATTTTCTTGATGTGTGCATTCGCATTTCCTTTCACAGATCAGTCACACTGTCTGGATGTGGTACCAGACAACTGCAGGTGCTTCAGCAAACCATTAAGACCTTTGGGATTTAATCTTTCCCATCTAAAATATTTGAAAATTTGAAGCAAAATTGTAAAATCATCTCCCCTATTTCCTTGTTTTCTATCTCTCACACCTACCCAAGGTATCTCTGCTTGGAGTTTAAATCCCAAATAGGTGGTAGGTGATTTGTGAGAATTTGTCAGTGCCTTCCATTAGGGTTACTAACTCCTGCCTGGGGACAGGAGTCAGCTTTCACTTACTGTCACTCATCCCAGTGCTTCAGAGGGAACAGGAGCTCAATAAATGTGTTGAGATGACTAATTTTAATCAAACTCTTTCCAAGTCAAATGTTAAAGATACAGACAAGTGTTTATTGATCATGTTTCAAACACTGTGACAGTGGACCAAAGAAAGATTTTTGGATATAAAGGCCTGTTTCATCTCCCTTAAGTCTTTTCAGACAAAGAATATAAGGTTCTGAATAGTTCACATGAGTGTAAGGTTCTACTCAGTTGCTCACACTACAACCAAATGTATCCACCCAAGTCCAGGTCTCGTCGTGTGCATTTCTTGCTCCAAGAACCCCAGTGGTTTCTGCTAAATGGAGTATGAACTTTTCAGCTTAGAATTTTAAGCCTAGTGACCCTACTAGTCCCCTCTTGTCTCATATCTTTGACCCAAACTTAACACTATCAAATACACTTCCATTTGTCCTGCTTCTATGTCATTAGTTAGGTTATACCCTCCCCGAGAAAGACTTCTTTCATTCTCTACCTGTAAAACTCATACACATCCTGTGAAACCCATCTAAAAGAAGTTTCTTCCTTTAGGAAGATTTTCCTGATTTGACCAACTGTATATGATTACTTTCTTTGAAACCTATATTTCCATCCTTCCTTTTCCAAAACCATTTGCCATACTCTGCCTTGTAAATATTTATGATATTTATCTCCTCCTTACCAAATCGAAAAAGTCAGGGTCCCCTGAGGTCAATGACCCTTTGCGTGTGTGTGCCTGTGTGTGTATGTGTGTGTCATCTGTTCCTGTGGTTGCCATCCAATATGCTTCGTGGGCAGTAGATCCTTGGTAGGTATTTTTATGAATAAAATGGAAGTGAATTGACCAGAACAGGTTAAACCCCTGTGCTAAAGGAGTGGGGAGAGCTTCTTTACCTCCCTCTGATACAGAGGATTTGGACTTTTATCCCAAGATAACTTGTCGGGGTATTAAAGAAATAAGCCTCCAACCATTTCCCTTGATACATAGTCTGTTTCCTAGATAACAATAAATTTTGACTGAAATATTCTATGTGGCCTCACATAGAATTTTGACTTCAATGTCTCAAACTTTCATCAAGAAAATGTTGTCTGATATTTATTAAATTTTGCAAATCCTGGATGCTAGTCTTGTAATAACCTTACTGAGAGATCAGATCCTAAGTTAGACAATAAAATGTCTACGTCTTTTGATTTTCACATCTATGAAATATCAATCTGGAGCATATGCAGACCCTAACCTTACATATGAGAGTAGGAAAAATTTACTTGAATGTGTAGTGACATTATTTTGATTGGGCATTTTATTAGCATACTGAATTGAGTAACTTTTGAATGCTTGGGATGATTCCTTCACTTTTGACAGGTCAGATTAGTTGGCTTCTTGGAAGGAAGTGGATAAAATTAGTTTGGCTATCTTTAGCTCCTGAAATTGATGTATAATAAAGGTCATAAAGTCAGTTCTCCCAGTTTTTCCTGTCTTCCTGCCTTTTGGTTGCTCCACTCCTCATTTCTGGTTTACTTAATAATACTGTGGAAAAATGGAAGGAATAAAATTCAAATAGATTTTGGAGCTTTTGACCAGCTCTAGTAAATAAGTTAGTAGAAGGTGAATTATGGGCCTCTATCTGTTCTCCTAAGTATGTATAGATTTCATTTGTGTATGATTTTAATTACCTATTGCCCTTGTATAGAAATTTACAGTTGACAACGTTTTGATTTGATGGTGCAGAAGATAATTAAGTGTTTTAAGCAATATGTGAGAACTTTTTTAAATATCAATGTCTTAAGGTGTCCATTATTAAATTAAATATAAAAAGCATTTATTTTTCATAGTTAATGGTATCTACCCTCCTGTTTTAGGCAGCTCATGGCCGAAGGGGACATACAGGTCCACAGGTATAATGACTTTTTTCTTAACTCCAAATGATAATATTCTGTGTTCAATCAAGGAGCTAGAATAAAGGCTCTGGAAAGTCCCTTCCAAGTCTAAAGTTCTTTCACTTTTTGATTATATTGGTTGTGGCATAAAATGTTAGAAAACGTTAAGGCTACAATTTCAAGTACTCACACCTTAAAAGAAAATTTGGGTACCTTATTAAAAATTATAAAAATTAGTGGCAAGAAACACTAACTACTTGGTCTAATTATTGTTAAATTTAACTTCGGATTTCAGGTATAAACTCTAGTAACTCAGTGGGTAACCTTTCTTTTAGAGTTTTATTCAATTAACTCTGAAACCTTACTTACAATTTACATAAACCCCTTTTAAACCAAGAGTACAATAAAACCCCAGTACAACTTGGATATTCTGAATGTTTTGTTCAAAAGTAAATTATACAACATGTCGTATCATCTTCCCTTTGTACATGTTGGTGATACATTATACACACTTCATGAATCTATAATGTTTATGAAAGAGCAGCTGTGTCTTAGAATTTTACAAAGTTAAAGAAACAAACATCGTCAAACTGAAAATACAGTGAGGATAAATAATAAATCTACTGTCAATCTACGTCATGGTGAAACTCCAGAATGTTAAAGATAAAACGTTTCCAACACTACCAGAGAAAAGACAGTTTTACTTATGAAAAGAATAGTAAATTAGATTTCAGCAGACTTCAATTCATCGACATATTTAATTTAGTTGCCTAAATTAAACTTTTGAATCCTTCCTTACTCCTTTTGAAATTCATCTCTCTGGAGAGTTCAAGGTCAAGGTAAAGAGAATGCTCAATTTTTGATCCCTAGATGTTTAATCTATTTGAATATAAATATAATGTTATAAGATGCCTGGAGATTTTTGCAGAAAATGTGAGGTAAATTATGAGTTTTTCAGGCCCAATACACTATTATGTATGTTATATTACAAGGGTTATAGGCGAAGGGAGTGTTTGTGTATGTGCATATGTGTATACATGTGTTTAAAGACTGAAAGAAGTACACATAGCTGTGGTTATCTCTGCTTGATGAGATTATAGAAGACTTTTACTTTGTATTTTCCTTTATTTTTTCATATTTTTTGCAAAGATCCTACTCTGACACTGTGAATGAAAAAAATATAACCTTTCACATTAAGGACAAAATTCTCAAGAAACAGTGTTAACAGGTCAATTCTTTATCACCATAGGGGAAAACAGGCATCCCCGGCCCAGAGGGACTCGAAGGCTCACCGGGACTGACAGGCCCTCAGGTACTTGTCACTAATCAGGGTGTGAGACCATAAAGAATCTGAAGCCTTGATAGAATCCCTCAACCCTCCTTGCAGAATTATAGATATTTGAAGTGTTTTCAGAGTAATAAAGTCAGGAAGCAACATGGCCTGTCCAGCATTTGGGCTCTTTATCTAAGTTTTGTCCCACTTGAGAGGTAATAAATGAGCCAACGTGCTGGGCAGTGGTCTGCACTGGATGGTTTCAGGCTTGCTAGAGTATTTCAGGGAGACCTTGAGCCAAAGAAAATGTTGGGCCTCTAAACTGGGAATTTTGGTCAATTTAGCGCAACAAGAGTTCAGTGTTACATATCTGATGCCCATGGTGTAGGAAAATTGGCTCTACTCTAGGAGAGAATTGTTCCAAATACAGCTGAGGTCTTCAGGAGGTGATATATGGTCTAGAGCCTGTCCTTTCTAGCTTTCTTCTCCAGGGAACTGCCTCCAGCACTTTCCTTTTGCAAGAAACAAGTCATGGCTATCTCTGACACTGATCACATGAAGGGAAAGGAAGCATGTGCCAGAAAGGAAAATGGAGCCTAAAATAATAAAGAGAAGGGAATAGAAGTCCTAGAAAATGCTAAGATGAAAGAAAGAAGGTCATACTATGAAAGTCAGAACACATTTTTTTCTCTCCAAACTTTTAGTTTTGAAATCTTCAGAAATAACTTTGCTGCTTGGCAAATGCCGGACAAAGAGTGGTTCTGTAATTTCTCAAAGTTTTAATCTACAAAGTTTTTTAAAAAATTGAAGTAACTATTACATGTTGGCAGCTTGGTGCATGGAAGTTGGGCAAAATATCATGAGACATCAGAAGAAAAACTTTGTTCACATTTTTCCAAGATTTCAGAGCACTACACTGTTTGCCCCTGAGAGCTCTGTCTCCTTCTAGCTTGATTGCCTTTCTTCGTCTTACTTGCCAGCTGAGGAAAGTTCCTTACCTTTAAGCGAGAAATACTTGCCACTGAAGCTGTGGGGAATCATTTCAATATATTGTCTGGCTTTATCTCACACTAAACAAGTAACAATACAATATGCCTTCTTCTTTTTTATACACTTAACCTTTTTTCACAGCATAGTTTAAAAGGATATGCAAAAACCAAACACAGCATGGTTTCTCTGCTCACATAGGGAACCACAGTGAAAACGCAATATAATATTCCAGAAGTAGAGATTTCTGAATTTCATCTTACCACATGCCATATCTCATTTATGGCCAGTCTTCTATGTGGTTATTGAATAGAAAATCCATTTAAATATTCCAGTTTCAGATTGATATAATTAGGGATTACTCCTTTTAAACGTAAGAAATATATGCATTTGGAGTACAAAGAATGTTTAGGGCAATTAGAAAGCAATGCTGAAAATTTCAACTGTTCAGTATTTCTTCACTGTGACCACAAATGTCCAAGCACCTAAGTGTTGGGCTGGACCCTCCTGTCCTTGTGTAGAGAGAGCAGCAGAGCAAGACCGGACCCAGGCGGGAGCGGAGTTCTCCTTCCGATTTCTGCCCTCATTACTGACTTGGCGTTTTATTGTTAGTAGTCAAGTGCTCTGTTAGGGAATAATGCTTAATTCTCTGCACACAGGGCCCAAGAGGAGAGGCTGGTGTGAAAGGGGAGAAAGGCGATCTGGGAAGTAGAGGTCCTCAGGTATGTAATGGGAGCAGCTACTGAACCTGGCTGTGATCTTGGTTTCATATGAAAGTGCCTGCAGTTTTCTTCGCAGATGTTATTTGCTTCCTATGAACTAGCGCAATGCTTAGGCTTGATTTGAGTGCGAAGTATGGTACCACAGCACATCCTGGCCCTTGCCTTGCAGAGCAGGCTGCCATGCTGGCAGACAAGGAGGTGGCAGGTGGCATCCAGCCTCTTTGGCCTCAGCAGCTCAACAATTATTGAAAGTCTAAGAATTCCTCCTCTGTGTCAATCAGGTCACACTCCCCTGATCTCAGTCCTCAGGGACTTCCTATCGTTCCCAGAATATGACCTCAGCCCAGCTACACATAATTCTCCTGGGCAGACTGCAGAACCGTCACCAGCAGAACCCTCCCGAGGGACACTTATGGCCGGACCTCTGAAAGGGAGCCCAGGATATCAGTAATTCCATCTCCTCTGTGACTCTGTTATACATACCCAGCACCGGGAGTGTCTGTCGTGAGTACTTCCCCAGCTTTGAAGTGCATAAATAATCACCTAGAGAACTTGTTAAAGCTCAGACTTTGGTCAGTGGGTCTGGGGAGAGGCCTGAGAGTCTACACTTCCAGTAAACTCCAGGGATGACGGTACTGCTGGTCCCCAGACCACACTGCCAGTAGGAAGGCCCTACCTGACCTGGCCCTGGCCTGCCTGACAGCACAGTTCATACTTACTTGTTTAGTTGTTTGTCTCCCTTCTAGGTTGTAGGCCTAGAGAGCCAGGACTTTGCCTTGTTTATACTATATCCCAGAGCCCAGAACAACAGTGTGGCCACCCAACAGAGCCAAGTCTGCTGGTAAAGGAATGAGTGACTTGGCTGACATGGGGATCAAGGGAATCTGTTACTTTGTGTCCATTAGTTAAGCTGGGCAGTGGTCCATCACTTAAGTGGATGTGTTCATCATCAAAATGTTTAAGAAGCTATTTGCATAAATCTGTGTCTCATGATGCAATATTTTAAAGCATATTAATTATAGCTCATGAGGATATTTGTTCCCAATTTTGATGAATATGCTCCTTCAAAAAGCATGAAAACTTTAAAATTCCATGGTAGGACTAAATTAATGAAAAGCAACTATTTTGCATTCATAACCTTGGGTCATTAAAAGCTTACTGGTGTCACAAATTGGGATTTTGAAAAAATGGTGAATGCCAAGGGAAACCTATCAGGAAACCTATTCATCTGTTTATATAAAATATTGAGGGGTAGATGGGTTGAAATCCAAAGAGCTTGGTAATTCTCGTGCTCTAGAATCCAAAATTATATCCAAGTAATATAGGCTGGATGAACCATCAACCACCCCATTTACTCATTTGACAAATGAGTAAATGCATTATCCCATTTGCCCTGAAGTATATTTCTGTGAGTGGGTCCTCTTTAGTCGTGCCTTGGCAGGATTGGTCAGAGTTATAAATCATTCAACCCCTCAGCATCACCTGAGTTATTCAAAAGGCACCATTTCTCTCCAGCTCTTCCATTTATCTCGTTGGAATGTATGGTTTTCTTTCTTTGCTTTCTTGAAATACTCTCGTCAACACAGTGAAAATTATGCTTCAAAGATGTGTAGAATTTTCTATGTGCAGGACATAATGAATGAGGTCTCAAAACTGTTGTTTCCAAAAGAAAACCATGGGAGACAGACACCATTGATACACGTGTGAGTCGTCATTTGCTGGCCCTGTGAACCTGTCAGCAGAGGCATTGTCTTGTCTTCCACACACAAGGGCCAGCCCCTCAGATGGAATAACATGGGTGTTTTCTAATTGCAGACTTTAAGGTTTTTCTTAGGATGTATGTTTAGAAAAAGGGCTGTGATTTCTTTTGAGAGTGTTCCAAAGGCTTTAAATTTATGCAGTGTTAGGGGCATTCTGCAAAATCAAACATGTGCCAATCTAACAATTGTGTGGCTATGATATAAAGTAAATGCAGTCCACAGCACAGTGAAAAGAAGAAAGAACTTTAAAGGAATGGCATGTTCATTTGTACCTTCCTTTGTGTCCTTTTTGTTTGGTTTATGGCTAAGTCTTCCACTAATGTAACCCATGCCTATGAAGTGGTGCAAAATCAGACAAAATATTCTAATTAGAGCTGGAATTCTTCTTCACTTAGATTTTGTTCTGAAATAATCACTATTGTCATATGCAATACCAAGAAAAGTTGAAATTATTCAGTGAAAATTTGGAATACACAGGAGAATTTCTATTGTCTTTTTTACAAAGCATAGCATAGCAATCAAGCACATAGAGTCCAGAGCCAGGCTGCTAGTTTTGATCTCCAGCTTTGTACCTTCCTAGCTGTGTAGCCTTGGGTAATTTATCAAACCTCTCTGTGCCTCAATTTTTTATGTTGTAAAATAAGAATAGTAATAATAGCTACCTCATCAGATTATTGTGAAAATTAAATGGTCTAATATACGTAGGTGCTTAGAGGAGTGCCTGCAATGCAGTATGCACTGTATAAATATTTATTACTACTATATCACATCAATATTACCTAATCTAATGGGTATTTTATGCTCAAAACGTGCTAGTCACCAATCCAAGGGAGGCCATACTAACAATAATGATCTAATAATATATAATGTCCTGTAATTGTCAAATTTTATTATTCTGCCTAATGTAGGCTGGATGAACCATCAACCATCCCTTTTACTCATTTGGCAAACAGTTATTGAGTGTTTCCTGTGTGTCAGGCTCTGTAGTAGGAAGGATGAATCAGACAAGTGCCCCCAGTCTCATAAAGGAAGGTCATGTAAGCAAATAATTGAGATGTGATGTGCTGAACGTGAACATGGAATCATACCCAAGGAAGGGTGGTGGGAGGGAGGCTGGACTCAGAGGAAAAGAGAGGCTTTGCTTTTGCAGGATAGGCAGGTGTTTCCAGGTGACAGAGGGAGGGGCAGGCATCCGGGAAAAGGAGCCAGCTTATACAAAAAGAGGTATCATGGTGAGTTTGGGGAACTATAGATGATTCAGCAAGGATGGAATGCAGGATGTGTGAAGAAGGAAGGATCACGGGCTGAGGTTGGCGGCTGTCTTCCAGGCTAGCACCAAGATCACCGCCTTCCCAGGTATCCCAGGGCTTGTTCTCTCATCAGCACACCCCTTGCTGGCCTCTTGTTTCTTATTTTCTCAGAGCTAGCTCATATCTGACTCTGACAGAGCTGAGCATTTCCTCTCCTCGGACTGTTTCATCCCAGCCTGTCATTTGCTGCTGTGAGTGTAGGCGCCGTTTCACCCCCATGAAAATAGTAGGTGACAGTCTCCTTTGAAGTGTGAGAAGAATCTGTGCTGCCCAGCCATATCCCACCTGAGTGAAGATGTCCCTGACAATCCCCGCCAACGATCCCAAACTCCTACCAGCCCCTTCTGATAAGACACTGAGAACAATTTTTTAAAACATTTAAACTATAAACATTTTCTTCACTTATCACGAAAGCATTTGTGATTGCCAAGTGCTCTGTGGCAGCCTCACCACAAACAGGCCCCCAGCCCAAGTGCCCACACTGGGAGAGCAGGTGTACCAAACTCCTGCCTCGGCTTTGAGAGTTCACATTTTTAACACTGGTGCATGGATGGTTAGAGCTTGGGAATCCTGCTCGGGCCATGGCCTCAGAACAGCACACAAGTGGCTGGGAATTCTATCTTTGGAGTCAGAATCAGGTTCAATTCCAGCTCACCCTCCCATTAACAGTGACTTTGGGTTAAATGCTTACAGTCTGTTTTTGATTAGTAAAATGGTGTTAACCTGTATCTCATTGTGTTGTTATAAGGAGTGAAGAAGTTTATATACAAATATGTATCACTTAGCAGAATGCCTTTCACAAATTAAATGCTCAATAAAAGGCTGCTGTTACACAAAGCCGGTAGTGAGCTGGCCTCTTGCTAATGCTCTTTTCCTTCAAATGCCCTCAGCTTCTCTTTAACTCCCACAGCTACTCTGGACCTCAGATCAGGTTATTTTTTAACTCTGATATCTTGGCGGTAGCAGGGAATTTTTCTTCTTTTTTTTAGAAACACTGTTCCTTACACAACCAACAGCATCTAAATAGGTGATATATCTACCATTTATTGAAGCTGGAGCCTCATTCGAGCAGCCTCAAGCCCCAGTTTGATACTTCATGCGGCCCTACACAGGAAACACAGTTGGGCTGTCTGACACTCTGTGACAAGCCTCTCTCTGTACTCACCTGCCCACCTAAGAAATCTTTTGCTTTGGAGGACTTCCAAGCAGAGTGATGTCTTGCTGTGCTATGTGTGCATGAGGCGGCTACACATAAAGTGATCTCCCTGAAACTGCCTTCATCTCACAGAGCTCATTTTATCTGGAGGAAGCACAGAAAGTGAGCCCCTTGGCAAAACGCTCAATTTACCCCTTATTGTCAAGGACAATTGAAATCCCTCTACTTCATCACCTCATCCCTCTTGGGCACCATTCCTGGATAGGGAGGCACATATACCGGTGGGTGGTAATGGATTCCAGGCACTGTACTAAGGTTCTGAGATACGGCATCAAGGATGTGCCCCTTCCTTCAAGGAGTGTACAGGTGAGCGCATAGTGGATGAGAAAGATAAATAGATGAACAGTTACATGCAGAGCAGAAGAGTCTGTGGGACAGTTGGGAGACCCAATACAGACAGGGGGGTCAGCTATTCTTCTTGAATCAGTGATGCTAAAACTAAGATTTTCAGGAAAGGCAGAAAAAAAGGACCAGCTAAGGGAACAACTTGTACAAGTGTGGAGACATAAGACACAAAGAAGTCTGTGGTGACTTCACATGCTTTGATGAGCACAGACACAGAGTGACTGACATGGCCACCAATGACCACAGAGGTGTGAAGTACCACTGTTTCCAGGTATTTTTACATGTTAATAAATAAAGATATTCAACTTTATTCTGAAAGCTACTCTGAATTTCAGAAAAAAAGGCAGCCTCAGCCTGAGCTTTTAAATCAAAAGGAAAAAGAAATGGGGAGTGGATTAGAGAGAGGCCAGGCTACAGTCAGGGTGTTCACAGAACCTGGGAAAGGCCTGAAGGTGGGTGCTTGCAGTGCAGCAACAGAAGGATGGATACCAAAGGGGCAGAGACTGCAGGACTTGGAGCTGATGGGTCTTGAGAGAGAAGCTGGAGCAAGGGGTCCAGGACGACTCTTCGGTTTCTGGCTTGGGTTTGGGGAAGCGAAGGGTGGCGCCATTCCTTAATGATCAGAATGAAATAAGCACGAACCTCTTCTTTTAAGATGAAGAGGGAGGGAGAAAGATGGCAGGTTGTCATCATCTTCCCTCATTGTCTCACAATCTTTCCTACTAGGAAATTTTTTATGTCCAACTTACTACATGTTTAATTTTTTAAAAGATGAGAAGGTTAATGTCATACTTTATTTTCTTCTGAACAAAACTAATTTACTAAGTATGCTTATTACACAGATTTGGTTTGTTTATTTTTAAATTATAGTAACCATGGCAAAAAAATTGTGAAAATGATTTCAGTTCACTGGCACTGGGATTATTTACCAGTACCTATAGGTAGTTTGAGCAAAGGAGATTTCTATTGCCATATGTTTGGATATCCCAAAGGAAACCCTGATCCCAAGTGTCTCTAACATAGCAAGACAGTTGGGCTGTCTCTGAACTGGGATTTTTTAAATGTTCGGCTATCAAGCTGTTCCAGTAAAGCACACTTTCTAGAATGTTAAGGAGACTCCTCTTATGTCAAATAGATTTTCCATATAGACACGTGGTACATTATCCATCTGTTTAAGTTTTGTTGTGTTCTTCAATGAGATCTTAAAGCTTTCTTTATGTAGATCTTTTATTGTTCTTGTTAAATTTATTTTAAGTATTTTATAGTTTTTTTCTCCTATTAGTAAATGTAAATAATTTACTTTTCTAATTTAATTGCTGGAAAAGTGAAAATTATTTCAGAATATTTATCTTGTACCACCTGAATGTATCTTGTTATTGCTAATTATTTTTAGTAAAGTTTATTGGGCTTTCTATTGTAAAAATCATATTACTTGCAAGTGAAGATGTTTACCTTAAAAAAAAATGCTTCCCACCAAGGCACAGAACCAGGAAGAAAGTTATCAAAGGCAAATGCCATTCAGAATGCCTTCTTTAAATGTTAGACATTTAGCAACACCTGCTTTCACAGCAAAACAGGCAGAATCTCAAATCTCTTTGGAAAAGAACTCTCACAAGGAAGCACAATCGTTTGGCAACATCTGGCATTAGTTACTTGTTTAATTTTCTGTTATTTACTAGTCTTTATTTGACAGCTGTGATACTTTTTTCCAGAACAAGAATCAGTAAAGCCATAACTCTTTTCCCATCTGGGGTTCATTTTCCTCTTAGAAGAGACACAAAAGATTTAAAGTTAAGTCGCTGTATGTTCTGCTATATTTTCGATCCTTCTTTTGTTTCAGGGACCTCCAGGACCAGGAGGAGAGGCAGGGACTCAAGGCCACTTGGGAAGCCAAGGAAATAAAGTAGGTCACATTCTTTATATCCACCAAAGTTGAGGTTTTTCTTCAAGGGAAGTGTGTCTAGTTGCATCAGCCAGAGCCTTTTCAACACAAGGGAGAACATCCCGCATTGCTCCGCGCCCTGGCTTGATTCTTAGAGAGCCAGCAGCATCTAAGGACATGGGTGTGGAAGGGTGAGGTCAGGGATTCCAGTCTAGCATCACCTCACAAGGGGCCCCACCCGATCTGAGCTGGGGACCTCAGGGAGGGGACTGTGCCGGCAGGCCTGCCTTTCTTTCTCCTCGCACCCTTTTTTCCTCCCTCCTTCCACTCTACCTTCCTTTCTTTTCTCCATTCATACAAACCTTGCTGACCCTTTTTCAAATGAAGGCACGACACTGGTACTGAGCCGAACTAGGGACTCAGCCCCAGGGATCTCCATCTGCCTTGCTCGCTGACACGTCCTGGTGCTCTTGCTCTAAGTCACAGCACCTGGCACTTGAGGGCACATACGGAGCACTTAGTGAATATTCGTTTAATCAAAGAATTCTGGCTTCTTTAATGATTAATATGATGTGGAATCGACCCTAGGAATTTAGAATAGTTTGAACACAACATAAATACAACATCTATGACATCAAGCAGTCAGAGAAAGGGGCTGAAACGGGGGCTGGGCACAGTGTGAGAAGTGTGTCTGGATAGGGAAAGAGGCATCACAGCACACGGACTTTGAGCAGACCTTAGAAGATAAGGACACTGATAGCAGAGAATGGGGGTGGGGGATTTCAAGTGGAAGAAACAGTGAAACGAAAGCACAGGGTGGGAAAATCCTATGAGCAGGTGTTTGGAGAATAAAATGATGCTGTCTGGTGGACACATACAAAACAAGGAAGTCTGTGGTGGCTGACTTTTTACAACTAGGCATTACAAGGCTTTTTACAACTTTTTGAATGGAGCATAAGAACACAGCCAGACTTCAGAAGAAGGTTTTAAATAGACGACTCAGGTTAGAAATATTCTGAAGGTGGAATACTGGAACATTGAAGATCAGAAGCTAGGAGAGTAGTTGGTGCTCCCAGTCCCCCAGACGGGCAGTGACTGGGCGCCTTGAAAGGGTGAGGACAGGAGGGGCTCATGGTTACTGTGCAGGAAGCAGCAGGGTGAGGGCAGATGGCTCAGGGGCACCCAGCCGAATGGTGGCACCCCAGAGAAGCAGGAAGGTCCTGAGGAAGCGTGGGGGCAAGAGGAGGAAAACCACTGGTTTGGTGGGCAAAGGAGAGGGTCTAGGGCTGCTTGGAGGTGCAGGTTTCAGTTTTGTTTGGATTTTTCAAAAGATTCTTGGTGATGTCCTTTTGCAAGAAGTGTAAGGGGACAATGAATTATTAGAAAGGAGGAGAAAGAAACAGAAGCCCCCTGAGAAGAGTTCAGGAAGGAGAGGTTGGAAGCGCCCACTGGCTTAAAGTGGGTGCAGAAGTGGGGGTGAGCCGCCGTTCCTGCCAACTGAGACACCCCAGAGGGTAGGTTCAAACAGGCAGCAGTTGAGAGGCTGAGAAAGGAAGGAGGCAGGTGCCAGAAGGACCGAACACTGTGCCACTGGGGGTGGAGGTGGGGGTGACTGTCAGCTGCTCTTTCGAGAAACTAGGCTTTGCAAGGGAGGGGAAGGCCCTTAACTGGTTCTGGCACAGCCCAGCACAGATTGGGCTGGGTGTTGCCCTCAGTGATGGGAGAGACTATAGTGTGTCCTAAGCAGAGAAGAGGAAAACAGAAAGGGAAGAGGAGGTTGGCGAGGGAGGAAAGACTAGACAGTCTGCGGAGAAATGTCTCGGCATGAGACGAGATGAATGGTGCGAGGAAAGGCTGGCTTTGGGCTGGAGCGCTGCTGTAAAAGGCTGAGTGACTGTCCAGCTGCGACAGTGACAAGGACAGTTGATTGGAGGATGGAATGAGATCCAAGGTGGCAAGGATGGAAGGGATGACTGGAGCTTCTGGTGGGGCAATAGCGGTCTAAAAGGAGGCTGGGAACAGGCAGTGCCACCCTCTTGCCCTGGGCTGAGGGTGTGAATGGTGCCACAGGTAAGGACCAGGCTTCTCTGGCAGTGAGGGAGGGTGCAGGCGCCACGGCCGTGCAGAGAGGGCTTGTGTGTGAAATGAGGGCCCTCCGCAGGCTGTGATGGAGGGGCGGAGGGGCCCCAGAGCAGGTGCAGGGGCAAATGAGGACCAGGAGAGACACAAGTAGGTTGGTGGTGCCAAAGAAGGTCACTGTGACAGAAGGTTCTTTCAAATAGGGTAGTCAAGAACGTGGGAGGGAAATGCCTTCAAAGCAAATCCAAACACTTTGGGTAGCCCCAAGATGGACCGAGCCCTCTAAACTCATTGCTGAGATGAGCCCCCAACACTTACTTCTACTTTGCTCCTCAAGTTCCCAGGGGAGCAAGCAGCCCAGCAACTAATTCCAGGCCTGAAGCTTGGCTGCACCAAGAGCCGAGTGTGTGACCCTGGACAAGCCCAGTGGCTTCCCTTGTTTCCCTGCCTTAAAGCAGATGTTCTCAAATTTCAGTGTGCATAAGAATCAGCTGAGAAGCTTATTTTAAAAGGCATGTTCTTAGGCTCCACTACCAGAGACTGATACCAACAGGGTCCAGGAATTCCCATCTGCATGCGGGCCCCAGGTAACTGGGAGGCAGGTGACCCCAGGGCACACTTTGAGAGCCACTGCTGAGAGAAAGGTGCAGGGCAGGTGGTCGGCTGCCACCCTTCCATGGAGCCCACTCTGTTTCACCCCTGAGTCCAGTGCTGGTGGACAATTATCCATTTGCCCTTCTCACTTGTGTTGCTTTTCTCTCCTTAAAAATGAGCTAACCACTCACTCCCACTCCTTAGGTGTGGGCTGCACACACTTCTGCATATTCTTTCTTCCAAAGAGTACACGATGGAAAGGGCAGGTGGGGGGAACCAGATGGGGAGGAACCTGACCAGCAGCCTCAGCCAGATGATGAGGGTGCCTGCCAGGGGCCACAGCAACATTGACAGTACACACTCCTCAGGTGACGTGGTAAGAATGGCACTTTAGCTCTGGGGCCTTACCCCCCAAACCCCTAAAAATCCAACCTAATCATGAGACAAACATCAGGCAAATCCCAAGTGAGGAACATCTACTAAATACTTGACCCAGAACCCTCAAGATGGTCAAGGTTATCAAAAACAAGGAAACTGATACACTGTCAGAGTCTAAAGGAGCAGAAGGAAATGGAACATGTGGTATCCTGGCTGGGATCCTGGAACAGAAAAAGGGTATTCGGTAAAAGCTAAGGAATTCCAAATGAAGTATGGGCTTTAGTTAATAATGCTGAATCAATATTCCTTTATTTCTTTGTTGTGACAAACGCACCCTATGAATGTAACTAAGGCAATGTTAGCAGAGAGGCAACTGGACACAGAGTACACGGAACCCTCTGTACCATCTTCACGTTTCTGTAACTCTAGAATGTAAAGCCTAGTTGATCTTTTGTTACTTTTTTTAAGAAGACAACCACCTGTTGCAAACCTGTGTTAACTTTTCCAAGTAGCTGGACTTTCTGCAACATAATGCTGAGACTGATCCATAACCCAATACGTGTTCTGCTAGTCAGAAATCAGAACTTGCCAGAGTGGACATGCTGCCTTGGTTATCATGATTGACTCCCAAAGCTAGATTAATAAGTCAGCTGTCTTTGCAGCAGCGAGCTGACTTGCATGGATCATCATGGAAAACAGTTCTATTAAGTTTTCTGAACAGTACAGAGCTTTCTCTTTGACTCCTGGTAGGCCCTCTCCAGGGGCGCCGTTCGGGGCACACCCGACGTGCCAGGCCCTGTTTGTCACAGGAGTAGATGGCAGGGGCCACCAGCAGCCGCTGCTCTCCTGCGGCACCGCCCACAGCCCTGACCACAAACCCTGCACGCTGTGTGATATGTGTGGGTGTGGCTAAAAACTTGTCCCAGCGCCATCAGTTCTAATTTCTTTTACAAACAATCTAATAAGGACACACTTCATTGCTCTGTTTGCAGGGAGAACCTGGAGCTCCGGGAAGCAAAGGAGCTCTTGGCCTGCCTGGTCCCCGAGGCTTGCCGGTTTGTGCTTGATTACTACCTTTAATCGGGCCCTTGGACCCTTTTAGTTCAATAGATATCAGGTGTGGCTCTCAGAAGAGTGTTTTAAAGACACCATCCAGTCCTGCTTGACAGTTATCAGAATCAAGGTATTATCCTCATCATGGATTAGTTCCTTGGCCAGCTTTTCCAAGGTGGTATCTTCCTGGGTCCCAAACATCCTGGCCGGGATGCTCTTGAAGCCAAATTATAAAATGAACCACACTTGTCTTGAGCATCCCCACAGCCCTCCTTCCAGTCTTTCTTCCCATCCGCACCCAACCAGCAGAAACCCAGCCCCCTCCCCCAGCACACCAGGCTTCTCACTGAGGCCTGCCGCATGGGTCTGAGAGGAGCTGAAGCCCAGGCATTCAGGAGGTCTTACTTTTATCCAGCAAACTGGAAATGGATTCGAGCTAAGGTATTAAAATACAAGTGTTATCCAGAAGACAGAATACTACTGTCTCCTTTCACTGAGAAACTATATGCCTGAAATTTGCTAATTTAATCCTCATAATAGTACCATGAATTTGTATAATTATTATCCCCATTTTACAGATGAAACAAGTAAGACTGAGAGTGCATTATCTGTTTGTGAGAGCTGCCTTTAGTGCCACTATCACCAAGTGTCAGAGGCAAACCTTGCTTCCTAGTTTCTCCTAATCAAACCAAAAAACTGGCTCTCTTGTTCTCTTGTGAATAAGCCTGCCTCTCTCTGTATTCTGGAGTGCTTGTAATTACTTGCTTTGTTTACAGGGGGACGATGGCCACCCGGGTTATGGCAGCTTTGGAAGTAAAGGAGCAAAGGTAAGGCTGGAAATGACATTTTCCATTTATTTTTATTTATTTTTGCCACACTTAGGAAAAAGCAAGCAATGAATAAGGCAGTCTTGGACATTTAGAGATAGATTTTAATGATTTATTTGATGATGGGAATATGATGGAAGAAGAAAACAATTTGGTGGTTTAAGGTGCAGGCAACCATTGAAACTTGGAGATTAATTTTCTGTTCTTGCAGAGCTGTGCGGCCAGCACTGACTTGTTCCATCTGAGCCAGGTGTCTCAGCAGCTCTGTGCTCAGGTTTGCTTAGGGAGGCATTCCGAAATTTGCCTCCTCTTGTTGTATTTACTTTAACTACTAGTGAGAAGTTTTACAAGGCCCTTCTAAATGCTTTGAGTCAAGCAATAAGTTAAAAATAAAAAACCTTTTAATTTTATATCAAAATTACAACTTTATATTGTCACTGAATGTTTGTGTCTTGAAGTAAGACAGGTAAATTTACCCAAACCAGTGATTTCCATACACCAGCAATAACCACTTAGAAATCATAATAACAACATCCACAAAAACAATATAGTTCATAATACCGTTTCTGCAAAATGTTTGAGACCTGTCACAAAAAATTACTGAGATATAAAACCTCAACAAATGGAGACATACCAAGTTCTTATTGGAAAGTCTAAAACAAATTAAAGGATCAATATAATTCCAAGCAAAATTCCAATGGGAGTGATGCCATAGGCTGTCTGGGAGAATAAACAACCCAAAAAAGCTAAAGTTTCATTGGATAAAAGAACTACTGAATGAGTGACTCCAGTGAAATTTTCATTAGAATAGATAATAATTGTAAACAATCTTAATATCTGATAAAGGGAAATAATTAAATAGCCTATAGCATGGGAATGTTAGCCACTGTTTAAAATAAGTATATATGAAGTTTATAATTATGTAAAGAAATTATGTAACAATGTCAAGTAAAAAATAAGAATATAATCAGAAAAAAAGCATTTATCCCAATTGTGCTGAAATGTATTTTAAAAGGCTTAAAGAAAATATGACAAAATATTAATAATGGTTAGTTTTGGGTAGTGAGATTTGGGTGATTTTCTTCTTTCTATCCTTTTGTATTTTATGTATATTTGAGGAGATACTATTTTTAATAATCAGAAAATAAACTTTAAATAAACTATTTTTTTCATCAAACGGGATTATCACACCTCTTCAGCTTTAGACTGTGGCCAAATTAAGGTGCTGTAGAGACCAGGAAATGAGTGGTCAAAGTTTATCCTCCAGGCTTCCCAGATACCTCCCTTGAAATCCATTGTTAAGATTGTTTCAGAGACACGTCGCTGAATGACCAGCTCCCCTGTCGTGTGCCTGCAGTAGGGGAGCTGAATTGTAGTTCCGCAGATGTATGCCTTTCCACTTATCTTAGGTTGCCATGATGTTTTGATGAAAGCAGTAAGTAACCATAAATTGGAATTAGTTTCTCAAATGGTGTTTTGGCCCGTTCTTGGTTCAGGGGTACTAAAAATAAATAAGGCAGCAGGATAAATTAGAGTCAGTATAGACCTATCTCTGGAATATGTGCATATGTTAATTTCCGTACTGTCAATTACAGGGGCAAGAAGGATTCCCTGGAGAAAGTGGAGCTAAGGTACCTGGTACTTCACACTAACTGGAGATCAATCAGGAGTATCCTGGAGTTAGGAAATCTATCATAGGAGAATAGAAGGATACTTAATTATAAATGAATAAAAAGAAACCTTCTGGGGGAAAGAAGGGAAGAAAGAAACCAGCCTCTTTAAAAAAATATATTTCAGTTCTAGTTTTTTAATTTGTAGGCAAAGAAAGATATCATTCTTATTTTTTCTCCTCACATGTACTCCTCCCCCTTTATCATATGTGTTTTCTTCTTTGCTCAAAGGAAAGTAAAATGTAAGGAAAACTAAAGGTACCTGATTTCACCTGGCTCAATTTTCCCAGTGCATTTATAAATCACCTTCAGATAGTAAGTTAGCAATGATGTCCCTCTACTTTAAGGTTGCTACTTTTGCTAGAAATGTTTACTGAGCTCAGTAAATGCCAGGTCCTGTGATAGGGTCAGGGGACAAAATGAAAGGCACAGTTCATGTCTCCAAGGAGGTTGGGCTCTAGCCAGAGAGACAGAAATGGAAAACAGTGAGGATGCCATGTGCTGGAAACATGAGGATGATTGGGAATATACTTGAAAGAAAGCTGTTAAAGATAAAAGTACACGTGAAATATGTCTTCATGTTGGGATCAGTTTAAAGACATACTGAAATATATCTGTTTGATTTTAATAACCATTTTATTTTATTCCTCTGAATTTATTTAGGGTGAGATTGGGGGCCCAGGTGGCCTAGGAGAAACTGGACCCCAGGGGGCAAGAGGCCAGACGGTAAGCTGCTTGGGTAATGAGGCTGTATAACCTCAGTTACTTTGGGGAGGCCCTTCACATGTTTCTACAATCATTTGAGTTGTCGCTGTTCTCAAAGACTTGTAAAATGTGCACTTTTTGTTAAGGCAAACTTGGGGAAGGGAAATGGATATATTACTCATCCTTCAATGCCTGCAAGAAGGCAATGGACTGTTTGTTTTTAGGGAACAAGTTCATCTATTCTGGCTGCAAGTACCACCCTTAACACTAGAAAAAAGAACTTTTTTAAGGAACCCCTGTGGTCCAAAATAGTTTTGTCCTGCCAAAATATAAGTTTAATCCTGTTTCCCTGGCAGGTTTCCTGCAACCCAATGCCCACTGACTTCTTGTCTTCTCTATTAGGTTTTGTTAAACTCCGTTTAATGAAGTGTATCCTGAAAGGGCCCCTCCTTATTTAGCTCAAGAGAGCATCTCTTAAGCTTTGTGAGAAAGTTTCTGTTTATTATGTGGCTGAAAATGTCCTTATTTTTCCATGAAAAGGCTTATATATTGCCTAATGCTTTACATCACTTAGAATAAACATGGGGCTCCAGTGCATCTCATAGGCCTCAGTGTCCTCAGGTCCCAGTGGGTTCAGAGTGGATTTTTGCATTTGTTGCCGCTTTAGGTATCATGCGCTATGTATAAGTGAAATGGCTACTTGATAAGAGGCACAGTCTTATGATAATTGTCTTCCCATACATTCACTATCTCTTCGGAACAGCGCTGGTGAGGGAAACTGATCTTAACACAGCATCAGTCAGCGGGAAAAGAAAAACACAGTGTCTGATAAAACTGGGTGCTTGAGGTGGTTTTCCAATTTTGTCATCATGGTTAAGTTTATTTTTGTCTTTTTTTTTTTTTACTGTGTTCAACAAGAACTTTATGTGTAGAGATTATGTTGGTACAAAATAAACTGTTCTTGCCTCCCCCACGCGTCCCCCAGGAGAACTCTTCCCAGCTGCAATTCTTTTCCTCATATGTGTTTTTGCATGGCTATCCTTCAACATTACACTCAAATAAAATAAGAAAGATGGAGACTGGTGTAATTAGGAAGATAATTGGAAGAGACTCTCCAGTTAATCCAGAAATCCTCCCCATTGAAATCTCTCTGGGTCCTGTCCCTCGGCTTGCTAATGAAATGCTTCACTACTAAACACTGGGAGCCGCTAACGAGTTGAGCCATTTGTTGGGTTCCCTCCCCACAATTACACAATAACCATTTTTAAAAACAATGGACTAATGGGAAACATAAACATTCCCTCTCGGCTTTACTTACTTGGGTTTTTTTCCCCACCTTGAACAATTTACACTGCAACTTGCTTATCTCACCTGTCACATGGCCTTTTCCACATGTACACAGATACTCTTGAATTTGAAGTTGAAGTTTAGACACTGACAACGTCCAGGTTTTTCCTCTGAAAGAGCCGAAGTTTCTTTTGGAAGACTTTGGTGAAGCTGTGTTTTGAGTTTTGAGTACCTCTCTATAGTTTCCTTGGAATTGCTACATTCCTAGTTTGAGTTTTCTGTGTCTTCCTTCACTGTGCTTCTTTACCCCCAACTGAAGTATTCTTTTTAAATTTGCCATGATATTTGACCTGACTTCTTTTGTGTATATGTGTATGTTTTGTATGTATTTATATTTTTTATCAACTTTACACATGCATGTATCTTAAGTGGGGGTTTCTCAGCCTCAGTACCATCGACACTTTGGGCTAAATAATTCTGTGTTGCACTTTGTAAGACAGTTAAAGCATGGTGGTTTACATGTTTCCCATATAGCTGGCCACTAGCTGTCAACATCAGCCACTCCCCTCTCGCCCCACCACCACTGTGACAGGCGTGTCTGTCCATCGTTTCCAGACGTTGTCTGGTGGGGAGGGCAGTACAAAATTCTCCCCGGTTGAGAAGCACTGGTTAATTATATTGTTAAGAGCACACAGAGAAATTCCTGGCATGAGGGGTAAACAAGTGTTGTTTCATTACTGTTGTTATTCCCCCTTCCACTACAGATATTTCTAGCCAAAAGTTAAGTGTTTTCTTATTGTTGTCATTTCAAGTTTTGTTTTTCTGGGTCCTTTGCATATTTTTCAGTTTTGTCACTTACCATCTCACTTCAGTAAAAATTTCTCCCCTGGCTCAACAATTCCAGTTCTAGCAATCTTCCCTGAGGAAATCATCAGGATTGCACATACAACTGTAAACTTAAATGCCAGCAATAAAAGACTGATTCAGTAAATCATGGTACATCCGTGTGATGGAGTGCTGTGCAGCTGTGAGAAGTGACTTGCCAGAGAATATTTGTCCAGAGGGATACACTGAGATTAAAAGTCAATAGGAAGAGTATAAAATTATATTTTNACACACACACACACACACACACACACACACACACACACACACACCAAAACAATAGATAAATGAAAGACACCAAAATGTCAACAAGAATTATTTGGGAAAGGAGGGATTTCTGAGGATTTTTTCCTTCTGTGTGCTTTCTTGGCAGTCTCTCAGTTTCTAAGATGAAAGTGTATTGCCTTTGAAATTTAAAACATCCATAAACATACACATACTTATAATTTTAAAATAAATAAATTCTTCTTTGAGGTATCCACTGGGCTTCCAGGAGAGATGGGATTCCCCGGAGAGCCAGGACCTGCTGGGCGCAAGGTGAGTTGAAAAGCTATAAATCACACCAGATCTTTTTCCAAATAAAAAGTCAGTGCACGGAGGCTTCATTTTCCAAATGTGCACACTTTCTGTCTTTGCAGCTTGGCAATTATCTCCACTATTTTTCTATGTTTATTTGCTCAGAGAGAAGAGGAAAATAATTGCCGATAAAATATCAGTTTACATTTTCTGGGAGGTAGGAGGAATTGAGGGTGGAAATGGAAAATATTAGACTAAAGTGAGATGTCTCAATTACCAGTAAATTTTATTCATCAGTCCAATCCGTGTTCCCTTCTTATATTCAGTAAGTAATTGGTGAACAAATGAACGTGAGAGGAAACTAGTAAATAAGGAGTAAATGATCTAGGTGCATCCACGGGGACTCACCTGCCTCAGGAGTCTGGGTGGGCTGCATCGCAGTTTTCCTCGGGGTCTCTGACAGAAGCCAGACTCTTCCTGTTCCAAAGATGGGATTGAAGGCATGAAACGAAAACCAAAACCAAATCTACTTGGTTCTTTTAATCCCCAACCAGAAATACACACATACACATACACGCACACACTCACTGTGGAAAGACAGTTGGGATTGCCTTTCCAGATGTTCAGTTTGAGCCTGGTCCCTTTGTCACTCACAAATGATGGGCACTGATGAAGGCGTAGCTCAGTGGCTGCCCTGCTGCTGAGGCAAAGCCTGAGGCTGAGGAGGTCCACACCTCTGCCTTAAGGTGGGGAGCCAGAATGGGTAGCTCAGCCTTCCCTAGTTCTAAGCCTTCCGCCTGCCCCAGGGCTCTCTGCGCCAGCGTCAAGGGGGCATCTACGACTTCCAAGTCTGGAACACCCTTGTTGCCCAAAGGTGGGGCTGCAGGAAAGGGGTCTTGGGAGGCTGGCGTGTATCAAGCTTGATGCCTACAGTTTGTTCCCTGGGAATGTTATTCTGAACGCAGTGCTGAGGATCCTACATGTCTTCTTTTTCCCTCTAATAAGAATACAATCTCTTCAAAGTCTCACTTTCTCAAGGTAATGTTGGTGTGAATTCTGGCTACTGATGTGTGTGTCCAGTGCAGTGAAACCACATATTTTGTTTGTTTGTTTCCCTAGGGTGTGAAAGGGGCCAAAGGATTGACTTCGTTTTCTGTATGTATCTCTTGACCCCAAGAAAATGCTCTAGGCATTCCATTAAATTGATGTATTTTTAAACTTCAAGACCTGGCAATCTGTTTGTTAATTCCTTTGGTTTTATTTTTGAACTGCAGGCATGTGAGCTCACTCAGTTTGTACGGGACCACAGTCGTAAGTACCCCGCTTAAGGCGATCGCCTAAGTCATCAGCATTCATAGAAGGAAAGCAGTATGCTCTGCATTCAGAATTGAGATGATATACTTACTGGTCAGTCTCTCACAGTTAGAGATGTCACTGCATACCTTCTGAATCAGCATAGACTGGTGATTATTAACTCCTCCTCTGGCTGCCAACTTATCTGTTGGAAACTGTTCCAGGCACTGAATAATGATATAGCCTGTGCTTTTGATCTAGGGAAGACTGAGATAGGAGGTGAGGGCTCTCCTGATGCTTCAGGAGCAGTGGAGAGTCGGACTGAAGTTTAAAGTGATTATTAATGCCTGACAACAACTGCCAGGACTGAATTCACCTGGCACGGAGAGAGCTGCGGCAGCGGGGCACCCTGTGGCTGGGGGCCTTGACTCAGGTCACTGGTCACCACTCCTTTCCGGGAAGGCTTTCTTGATTTGCTTGTAAAATTACTCATTCTGCCTAGATACCTTCTTTCTCTCTCAGTATCAAAGCCAAAAGCCTTTTAGTTTGGCAAATGCTCTTTTGAATTTGCTCTAAGACCATTACAGCGGCTTTTTCTATCATAATATGTTAGTGCTGTCAAAGGAATTCCACTTTCAAGATGAGGAGAGAATCATCTATTTAATGTTCATCTGCAAATGTGTAATGGCTTCCCAATAAACACTGTACCTGAAAAGAATGTTGAAAATCCCCTCAAGGTATGTGGGGGAGATAAATAGGCAAATTAGAGCTCATTTCTGTAAAGAGCATTAGTTTCAAAGACACAGACTTTTAAAAGCTTTAATGCACTATGGATCTTAACTGCGTTTTTGTAGCAGGATGGAACCGTCCTTGGTGGGAATCGAATATACACATTTGGTTATGAAGAGTAGTTGATCTGGGGCTGAATTAGTGCCTGGGAGCACATCTCTGACGTGGGAGCCACGGGGGCTGTAATGACTCTAGGGTGGACACAAGTGTGATGAGGCCTCATTTTTTCAGACTTGAGGGTCTCAATGCAAAAATTGCAAATCTGAAAGTAGGTACAAAATTATCTCAAAAGTGTCATTTAGAACAAGAATGGAAATCATAACCAATGACTTCTGCATTTTACAAAAGTACATGCTCATGTGAACGCATGTCTGGTGCCCTTCTCAGACCTTGCAAGGGACCCCTGCCCATGAGAGGGCGAAAGCAGTGCTGTCCAATAGAACTCTCTGCGGTGGTGATGTGTCTCCTGCACCAGGACACAGCAGCCACTAGCCACATATGACACTGAGTCCTGGAAAGGTGATTCATGCATCTGAGAAGCTGAGTTTATTTACTTTTAATTAATTAAAATTTAAATACATGTGGCTAGTGGCTTCCATATTGGACAGTGCAGATCCAAGGCTTAAACTTTAGTTGCTTCAGAGTAAATTCACCTCGTGTTTACATATGCACACACCCACAAATGCACATATATGCACTCTTATGCATATGTATGTCTGTATCACTGATAGCTATAGATCTCTACATGGGGAAAAGTTAGAGTACAGAGAGGTTAGGACCTTTTAACTTTCCAAATTCACACCTCTGTGGAAATAATGCTCTCCCCAAGCAAAGGTTCTTCCCCTCCAACAGCGGCTTCAGGCTGCTGATTCATGGCTGTATATCGCCCCACTTTGCCCCTCTTATTCCCTATGGAAGGGATGGTGCTTTCACCAAGATGCTGGGCTCCATGTGCATTTTCCACAAACCCTGTCTGTGGCCTTGATGTCTGAGTCACCTGCAACCAGCACGGGGCTGAGCCTCCGCTGCCACGACTCTCCCACCCAGCACTGTTCTCCTACCAAATAGTAACCCAATCTTCTTTTTTCTGCTTCCCCAGCCGGCAGACACGGTGAGTAGTCTTTATTTACAGCATATTATAATCAAGCTCCAAAATGCTGCACTTCTGGAAAGATGACTTAGAACAATGTGTTTTGCCTGCCAGATGATATAAATTTTATCTGCACTGTCTCTGCTGCCCACACTGGTAGCACAGTCCTGCTGCCAGTTGAGTCACTCCGCTTTAGCTGTTTCACAGCTGTTTCTCAACCAAGTGGTTTGATTTTAATTAATATTTCAGTGACTAGCATTGTCACTTCCCTTACCATTAGACTCTTTGTACTACCTCTTTCCCTCACTGGCTTTCCCTCTCTCTTCGTCCCATTGTGTCTGTAGGCTAGTGGTCCAGAATAGAAGGTGAAGACGGCAGATGTAGGGGGTGGCGGGGAGGAAGAACCATAGACATCATGTGAGCTGAGTGCGCGGCCCTGATGACCACGGGGCTCGTGCCTGCTGTTAATCCCCAAATCAGCTTAACATCTTTCTGTGCCTGTTTTTAACTATTTTACAAACACTGATGACATGATGCTTTTGTATAAGCCTATCATCACCCTCTTAGGCCTTTACACTCCTATACCTTTTGTGTAAACACATCAATCCATGCCCTCTCTTTGCTTGTTCACTCAATCAATAAATAATTATTAAAAATCAGTTATGTGCCAGGCTCTGTCCCAGGCCCTGGGGACACAAGGCTGAGTTAAGAGAGACGCAATTCCTGTCTTAAGAGGCTTTCATTCTAGTGGAAGACCCAGACCACAAACAATAAGTGAGAGAATTACAGAATCCTATAGCTTCTGGGACAGAAAGGAAAAGCACCCCCATCACGGAGCAGGGCCCAGTCAGGGAGGGGTAAGTGCTTTCGGAGGAAGGGCTCTCTGCTTTGAGGCCATGAGCCCGCATGTCGGACTGAGCAATGAGAAGACGTGTCTTTGCAAGCGCCAGGCCAAGACCAGCGACGGGAGGGCCATGGGGCCAGACAGGCCTAGGCGCTTTCTAGGCGCGGCCAGAGCCCAGTCTGCCTGAGGCGTCTTGGGGCAGGGGGGCTGGTATGTGAAAAAAGGCAGAAGTCCGGAGGCGCCAGATCATCCTGGGCCTTGTAGGTCGTAATACGGAGGCTGGGTGTGCTCACGTTGGACTGGGAGGACGTTAAAGGGTTTATTGGGGGGAAGAACGTTAGCTGATAAACAGCTTCTGAACGCTCGCGCAGGCCAGTGGGGCGCTCAGGGCCCGAGGACCGGTCAGCAGGGGCTGAGCACTTCCGGCACATGCCTGGCGCCCGGTGGGGTGGCCACCGCGGCGTGGCAGCTCTGCGGCAGGGGGCAGGGTGCCTTCCGCTGTGCCATCATCATCGGCTCCACGCCAGGGCCAGAAGCACCGGCAGCACTCAGGGCCCCAAAGCTGCATTAGGTCCGCGGTGGCAACCCATGCCTCCAGGAGGGCCACCTGGGTGCCCCTGAGTCCAGCCCAGTGCTCTAGGAATCTCGGGGTTCAGCTAGCTTGCTGGACTTCCGAGGGTGCGTTTGGCATGTTGAATTAGTCCTTAGGTGTTTTTTCCTGAAAACTTGAATTTTTCACATCTCCAGCCAGCACTACCTTTTTCTCCTTCCCTTCATCTCTACAGCACATCTGAAGCTTCGCCAGTCGTTCCCACACGCACGTAACAGCCCGAACAAATAGCCAGCAGAACCACGTTCACGTCTGATCATAAATTCCCTCTCTTTTTATTGGAAAATCGACATGACCTCAGTCATTTAAAACATATCTCCCCACCCCTCCAAATCAGAGGCTGATAATTCATGTTCCGTCTCCACTGAGGAGCAGCTTGATTTGGGGTGGAATGTTTGCTCTACTGGCCCTTTTGCCTGGAAAGGGCAGAGCGCAGGGCCAGAGGCAAGGATCCTCTCGCACTGAGCCGGGCCAGAGCCCAGCCGGAGGCCCTGAGCTCCCCGGGAGGGCAGCTGGGCCTCTACTGCCTGCATTACCTCCGCTCTCACGTGCCGGGCACTCCTCCGTGGGAAGCCCGTCGCGGACATTTCCTTTTACCAACCCACATCTCAACACCAGGCATCTCACCCATTATTAAACTTTTCTTCTTCCTGTACCTGTTTTGCAAAGAGCCGTGTCTGTTTGGGTCTTTTCCACTTAGTTCACGTTATTAGGTCCCTGATAGACGGCAGGGACCAAAACCGTGGCCCATCAGAAGAGACGGTCCCTGTCTCTGTGCTTCACAAATTAGTGGGAGAGGAAACACTAATCCTATCAGATGATCAGACAGATATAAATTGCCAGCTAGGAAAAGAGCAGGTACTGAGATTAGAATGAATGAATTGGGATCAGTGAATAAATCTGAGCTTAACACTTACATCCCAGTTTAATGATCATAATTCCAAGTTTCTGTAGTGATATGACATATTCATTGGTTAAACTTGAGGTTTCCTCATTCTTTAAGTGGTACAAAATGAAAAAGTCCATAATAATAATTAGAATAATTACAGCTAGCATTAATTAGGTACCCACTGTGTGCCAGGCCCTGCTTTACCTGTGTTATTTAATCCTCAGCAGAGGGCTGTGCTTTAGAACTGGCAGTTGACAGACAAGCAAACTAGGGTAAGTCACTGGGACAAGGTTGCCCGGGTAGCCAAGGTGTAAACTCCCCCACATCTGCATCCAATGGCATATGCCAGGTGTTTTCCAACCTTTCCAAAATTACCAGCAGAAATTTCACACCCATGCCCATTCCTTTTTAACCCGTTACATTTCCTCATTAAGTTTAGTTTATAAAGCAGGCTATACATTAATAATTACATATGTCATAACTATACACTATAAAGCATATTATACATTAAGTAAAATATATATGCTGAGTAAAGTTCCAGTAATGAACATGATAGCATTGATCCAGTCTCTGTAAGTAAAAGAGTATATTCATGAGCTCTTTACTATTTAGAAGGAATTTAGTAATCAATTTGCTAATTTAATTAAAATGCAAATTGACTTACAGACTTTTTCTTGTCTTTATTGAAAGTGAAAATTTTTTTTAAAATAGTATTTTTCAATATTCAATATTTAAATATGTAATATTTCAAGTGCTTATTTAGTATTTAAGTTATTCATACTCAATTTTGTAATGTTTACATATTTGAACATCTAACACTTAAAATTGCTTTGCCTTCTGTGTCTTGTTTTTATTTTCAAGTAAGCATGCCACATGCTAAGGAGCATACTCTTGCCTTTTAGGAAAGCCAGAATGCCCAGTGCACCCTACGGAGCTGGTGTTTGCCTTAGACCAGTCCCGGGATGTCACGAAGCAAGAATTTGAGCGGATGAAGGAGATGGTGTCTTCCCTGGTGAGGGGCGTCCGGGTCCGGGAGAGCAGCTGCCCTGTGGGCGCGCGCATCGCCATCCTCTCCTACGGCTCCCACGCCAGGCACCTCATCCGCTTCTCGGACGCCTACAAGAAGAGCCAGCTTCTCAGGGAGATTGAAGCTATTCCTTACGAGAGATCCTCAGACAGCAGGGAGATCGGCAAAGTCATGAGGTTTATTTCCAGGAATGTTTTCAAGCGCACGCTTCCAGGGGCCCACGCGAGAAGAATTGCCACGTTCTTCAGCAGTGGTCAATCTGCCGATGTCCACTCCATCACCACGGCCTCCATGGAATTCAGTGCCCTTGACATTGTCCCGGTGGTGATTGCTTTCAGCAATGTGCCCTCCATCAAGCGTGCGTTTGCGGTAAGATGGTTGAGCCTTTCACACAGGATTTTTTTTTGCTTATCCTCAGAAGCCTCTGTAATAAAGTATAGAACTACACTATTTATGTAGCAGAACCATGCTGAGCCCTTATCTGCATTGCCATGTCCAGTTCTCACCAGTAGTAAGTACAGGCTAGGTATAACTTTCCTCCCTTTGTATCTGTGAGAAAACTGAGCCTGCAGAAGTTATATGCCCATGTTCACATGGCTAAGAAGTGGCAATGTCTGGACTTGAACCCAGTTTTTCTATCCTAGTGCTTCTCCAAGGGGCTGTCTGAATTGCCTCTGGGTATAAAGATATTAAATTAGGAAGGCTTAGGGAACATACCCAGATATCACTTATGTGGCTGGAGTAATAATCATTGCTGCACAGTGAAAACCAGCTGACAGATTTTATAACTTCACCAACATTTGTATGTGTTGCACAATGATCACCACAGTAAGTCTAATTAACATCACCCATCACCACACATAGTTACAAAATATTTTTTGTGTGATAGGAATTTTTCAGTTTTACTCTCTTAGCAACTTTCAAATATGCAACAGAGCAGTAAGTGTAGTCATTATACTGCATGTTACAACCCATGACTTGCTCGTTTTACAAGTGGAAATTTGTATCTTTAGACCCCCTTCACCATCTCACCCATCCCCCCATCCTCCTCCTCTGGCAACCACTCTGTTCTCTGTATGAGCTCAGGTTTGGGTTTTGTTTTGTCTTTGTTTCTAGACCCCACATATAAGTGAGGTTGTATGGTACTTGTCTTCATCTGTCTAACTTATTTTAATTAACATAATGCCCTTAAGTTTCATTCATTTTGTTGCAAATGGCAATATTTCATTCTTTTGAATGGCTGAGTAATATTCCATTGTACATGTGTACCATGATATCTTTACCTATTCATCTATCAGGGGACACATAGGTGGTTTCCATGCTTTGGCTTTTGTAAATAACCCTGCAATAAATGTATAGGTACATATATCTTTTCAAATTGGTGATTTTGTTTTCTAAGGGTAAATACCCAGAAGTTGAACTACTGGATTGTATGGTGTTTGTATTTTTAATTTTTTGAGAAAGCGCCATACTGTTTTCCATAGTGGCTGCCCCACTTTACATTCTCACCAACAGTAAACAAAGGTTCCCTTTTCTCCACATCCTCACCAGCACTTGTTATCTCCTGTGTAAGTGACATTAGCCATCCTGACCTTTCAGACACCTCGTCAGTCATGGCACTGCGGCAGGGTTCCCTTATAAACAAACTGTCACCTCTGTGGGCCCCAAACGTGGAAACTGTGGAGCGGGGCCCAAGCGACAGCAAAGGGACACTGGAAATACAGCCTAGACAGAAAGGCCAGGCACCTGAAAACCAGAGAAAAAGGAAAATAAGATACAACAGAGTCACTGACTTCAGTGTGTGAGAAATCACTGCTGGGAAAACCAGCCAGCTCAATCCAACCTGGCAAAACCTCCTATCAGACAAACCAGGGGTGAGAGCAGTCAGGACTTCAGGCAGGATTTAGGTGAGAGCAGTCTGAAGGCAAAGCAGGCTTACTGTTGCATTGGACTGAATGGCTAAGTGCAGGTGGTCAGGATGTCACCTTTCTCAGAAGGCCTTTTCTAGGGGTGGTCACATGCCTGTCAAGCTGACTCCAGTCTGTCCTGGAGCCTAGACGTTAGGACTCATGGCCTTTCGGAGCCCTTTCAAGAGCCATAATTTTCTGTGAAGATGTTAAAACAAGCAGAACAGTGTGGAAATAGAGAACTCGTCTGTTAGACATGGAAAGCAGTGCCTGTGCCCCACCGCTGTGGTGAAAATGAAGCAGTGTGAGGCTGAGCGACAGTCTAGGACATAGTAAACACTCAAGAATGGCAGCTCTTGTTTTAATCACTATTGTTCTCATTTATTTGCCGATGCTAAACTAAAATCTGTTTAACAATATTAAGTCTAGGTTGTAAGGGAGCTGACACTGCTCTTAACATCACTGAAGTAACTCAAAATTATGCAAATGAACAGACTGGTTTATCAGGCTCAGAAAAGAAAATGTATGTAAATTAGGAATACTGAGCCAGGCTGTGCAAATATAGTGGTTATGAGTAGTGGCAGCTCAAAAATTCTGTGAGAGTCCTCGTAATTCCCTTATTGAGAGCCCCACTGTCTCTTGGTTTTATTTAGTAGCAAAATGAGACAACTTAATATCCTGATGCAAATAATTGATGGCACTCATGATATAAACTTAGACGGACACAATTCCACCACTCACTTAAAAGTATGTGCACAGCATATCACTTCAGAAAATGTATCTTGGTGTTTTTAAAGCTTTTAAGTGTTAACAGTCTTATAGATTTTATCCAAATCACCTAGAGACTCTTAGCTCCTTTCTTGAAGGGGTTCATCTCACAAGAGCCCCAGTGAAGACCCAGGCTCCTGACAGTGACCCTCTCATACCTGAACACTGGCTCCAAAACCTCCGGGCCAGGGGGTCGGAGATGCCCACAGAGACCAGAGGTGGTCTCCAGGCTCATTCAGCCAGCAGATGCTTAATGAGTATCTCATGTACCAGATGCTGTCCTAGGCTCTGGGGACACAATGGGAAAATAGGGAACCCAAAGGGCCACCCTCAAGGAGCTGCATCCTAAGCAGCGCTGTCTGGACAGGCTCAGAACAGAGGCATGTGATGTTGGTGAGAACCCAATACATGGCATTGCAGAAGAGGAATTGTGTTACTACTACATTTACCTCTTTTTCTTTCTTCTGTCCATTCTCTTCAGTTGTGCTTACCTGCACTTAAACAGTTGTTTATTAGTATTTTATGGACAGAACTAAAAAGTTTAATGCCAATAAATTTTTATTTGGATGTCATGTTTTAAAACTCCAATTTGTTTCCTAATTATCATGACTTTCTAAATCCAAGTTTATCTGAGAGTTTAGCAGTCCAGTGTGAAATCTGGGACCCAGATATACATGTCAGGGCTCCAAAGCAGCTGCTCGGCCAACACGGGTTGGTTTCCCGTATTCTGCGGCAAACAGGCTGCAATCTTGGACATTTCTCATGATGGAAGGAAGCTGAGTGATGCACTGTTCATCCCTCCTGAAATGGAAGGCCATTTTTGACTGGGAAGAAACCCCAGTCTCAGCTTTATTTTGTCACTAGGGTTTCCTTCTAAATTTGTTTGGCAACTACCTTCTTCTTCTGGTGACATTTTCCTAGCTGCACATGAAGAATTCTAAAATAGACTGACTCATTCTTTCTACTGTAGTTATAGGAAACATCTCTTTTTTAATGAGCCTGATTTTGAAAAATGTTACTCTCCTGCTTAGCATTGCAGATGAGAAAAACAAAGTGTAATTGTTTGGCATTACAGGTTATTTTGTAATTGGACACAGAGCTGAAGTGTGGGGGTGGATATTAATGGTAAACATGAGCACTTTAATCACCAACCTTTTTATTTTTAAAAGGATCTCCTTTGATAATACAGAATTATCTGAAGAAAGATGATTATACATAATATTAATTGTATCTTTTCTCAAATGCACCAATTTATGGAGCCTTATGATATTTAGAAAAGAAAGAACAAGGTGTCTTCAGAACTACTTGCTTAATGCCTCCTATCACCCATCTGTGGACATCCTAGCTACACTTTCGCCTAAGCTGGTGCTTCTTTGAATCCACAGAAAAGTGAGAAGGGAACCACTGGACGCTTTTATTTTAAATCCCCAGCTCACATTCAGCTTAATGAATTTTCTATAATATGGTGGGTATAGTTCCAGTGAGATGAGTGATCTCTAAAACCACATGTGCCCTACTTTATTGAGTAGATTACTTGAGGGGTGGGAGGCAAGGAGAGCACAGACTCCCTGTGGGCTCTCCCAGCAAAGCAGTGCAGCAGAATCCATGAGAAGGATGATGTGAGGCCGACACCAGTGTGTTGGTGCGTGATTGAATATGAAGCTGAATCACCAACTAGTGCCACCTCCAGCAATATGGAAGCTGGCACATTGTAGACATTCAGAGCACAAATCAATGGCATGGCCCCTGGACGGCATCCTGGGGACACTGTCACACACTGAGGTGGGACCCACTGACATGCAGCTGCGGTCCCAAAGTTAGCTTATGCAGAGGATGGAAGGTGGGCCCTATTTGTGGAGGGCAAAATTAAAACTGGAGCCTCCTGTATTCTGCCCTCTCTGGGCTTACTTACCCTGTTTGGGAAAATGGTGTGACTGGATTACATGGTTTCTAAAATCTGTTCTAGCTCAAACATTCTGTAATTTTTTTTTCTGGATTCTGGTACTTGGCAATAACAAAGCCCTTTCCCCACCAGATGTACCAGCTGGTCTGACCCATGCTCTCTGGTTTTGATTTCCTGATCACTCGGCACAATCCAGATGAAGTGCAGGCACCATTCCCTTGAAACGCTGCCCATATACCTATTAAAACCAATAAAAAAACAGCCTGATTGTTTCTGCTGGCATTTTAATCAAGAGATAAAACAATGTTTATAGACCCAAAAAACCCAATTTAAGCTGCTTAAGTACACACACATACACACTCCAGGTGGATTTCTTGTAATGATCAGATACAGCTCAGGTGGCCTCTGGCTCTGAGTCCAGGTTAGCAACCTCTACCCTGTGCTCACCTAGACACTATTCAGCATTTCTTCAAAGAACCGTGTGCACAAATAATCTGTGAGCAATGCAGGTTTTCCTGAAGGTGGTGTGTCAGCAGGAGAGGCACCGTCATGCAGAGAGCACTGTGCTCCACTACGCAACGTCCCCACAATGTCACACCACCCAGTCCCTTCTCCACTGCTCTGCTCTCCCAGGCCCTGCCTTCCCAACTCTCTCACCACACAACGCTCCTCTCCACTGCTTTCTGTTTCCTCCTTCTCAAGCTCTTGGGGCACCACGCACTCCTTTCTCTATACAACAGCGCCTGGACATTGAGCTACAAACTACAGTCCCCACCTACTCCCTCTGCCGTCCCCTCTAGTCCAAAGGCATGAAGGCAAACGGTGGTCTGCCAGGGAGGAGTCCTCAGAGCACAGATTCCCCATCTGTTACACACAGAACATACGGGCGGGCGCAGAGGTGAGCCTCAGGGAGCGCCCCATTCCCGCCCATTTCCCTTGCTTCTCAGCACGCAAGATGGAATGTGGCCGCGCATGCTCACCTCCCGCAAGGCGCTGCCAGCTTCGTATCCCTGAGCCCTTGGGCCCGAGGGACTCGGATGTGCATCCCCTGAGCCGTCCGCACTGCTTGGGGGAATGGGCACACCCCATACACACCCAGACGCCCACGTCCTCCCCATAAAGCATGGGAAGGGAACTTCCCAAGAAAGGGGATGAGCCAGCAAGACCCCCAGGGATATTAAATGCATCTGTCCCGTCTCCTAGGCATTAGAAAGGATCAAAACTACAATTCTTCTTCAGCTATCAATGATCTCTGAGTCAGGTGGCTGACAAGCTAACTATTCTTCACTGTTTGGAGCCTCCCTATCTTCTGCCCTGCAGCCCCAGGCAGGTCAGTAACAATGGCGCCACCTGAGAAGGCGTGGGAGTTGCCCTGCAGCGGCTGCCTAGACAGGGTCTGCCTGGCAAAGCCAGCTCCACGCCTGGCTCACGGTGGGGACTCAAAGATGGGTGTAAAGACTGTGATGTCACTCGGTTCTTGGGACTTGGGGTGGTAGACATGGGGCGGGGGCTCTTATCCTCTTCCTGAAACGGCTTCTGTGTCCAACATCTTTTTTTTTTCTAATTCATTTATTTGTTCATTAATTCCTTCCAACATCTTTTGATCCATCAGTTAACCTTTGAGTTTCGCACCTGTTAAAGGGGATGACAAACATGAGCATGAACTCACTGGATTGTAGAAATGATGGCAGGTGTCTTGCCAATGGGTTTCAGCCCGGGCAAGTTCGCTATGGATTCAGTGTGACCAAAGAAATTGACAGCAAAACGCTCTTTGGGGTGAAAGGGTTATACTCAACTTTATTTCCAGGTGGCAGGTCAGTCATTAGAATCCCATTCACTCTGAGCGAGTCTGCATGCAGCAAGCTGGTCTCTGCTTCTGGGCCCCTCTGTCCGCACAATTGTCCTGCACAGCCGTCCTCTGGGCCTCTGTCCCCAGTGCTGCCTCTGCTCTGCTCTCCTGAAGCCTTGCAGCCCTCACCATGGTGCCCCCAGAGCACTGGGCGGAGCTCTTTTTATAGAGTCAACAGCCATGTAGTGCCCACAGGTATGCAGTGAGCTAGTCAACCATGGCCAGGTGAGAATCCTGTCAACAGGAACTCTGATTTTCTCCACAGCAGGGAAGTGCTGAGTGGTCTCTAAGGAGCCACGCGGTGTCCACCCTGTGCCAGGCAGTGCCTGGGTGTGTATGGGGTGAGCCCATTCCCCCAAGCAGTGCGGATGAACTCACTCATGCTAGGTGGTAGTGTGATTATTCCATTCTACAGATGAGGAAACAGAGAGGCAAAGAAACTTGTCCTACAGCCACAGGAGTGTGGGTTTCAACTCAGACTGTGCTCCAGGCGCCCAGCACGGTGGGCCTCCCAGGACCACCTTAGGAAGAGAGCGCTGCTGGCCCCTGTCTCGGTTCTCTGACCAGCCCTGGGAGGCTGTCACAACCCCATTCGCTGAGCTGCTCTCTCTCCTGCCTCTGCTGCTTGCAGATTGACGACACGGGCTCATTCCAGGTGATCATGGTTCCGCCTGGGGCTGACTACACGCCTGCACTAGAGAGGCTCCAGCGGTGCACTTTCTGCTACGGTAAGACCTACAGGGAGAACATAGTGTGAGCAGGCCCGTTCAGCATGTCAGGCACTGCTGGTAGTGACCTTGGGAGAGTTTCCCTGGGGCTCTGGGCTCCCCTCTCCACACCGCATCGCCCACAGAGGGAGCCTCTCAGCGAACTGAGCAGAGCCTCCCTGGAACCACAGTGGGAGGGCGACATTACAGGTTCTCTGCTTAGTGCAGCTTCCTGGAAACAGTAATAATTTTTAGAAAAATATAGCCTGCCTCATTGCCAAGATTTTTATGCTGTAAATTATATTTATGTTTTCTAAATCGCAAATGTTCACAACCCCCAAAAAATGCTTTACAGTAGAAGGAAGTTAGCAGAAATTCATGCATTTCTCATGGGAAGAAGCTTGACAGACACTCAAATGTTTATTTAAGCATCAAAAAGATTTACTCTGTCCATTGTGTTTTATACACAATCTCTACATCTAGCTAGATCTATATTTGAGTACTACTAATTTGAGTGTACTCAGAATTATGAAGACGGTGGATGTTGCTGAGATTACTGGGTGTGTGTGACAGCTGCCAGTTATCAAACATTTATTGTAAGCCATGCACAGTTCTAATTGCTGTCCATAATATTGAGAATGGTGTGATGGAGTTCATTCTTAAGCTACTGTGCTCACTGTGTTCTAAGTACTCTTCCAATTGTTTCATTCAGTCTGCAGGATCGCCCTAAAAATGTTGGAACTATGGTTACCCCATTTTACAGAAGAGGCAAATGATGCTTAGAGAGATGAGACAATTTGCTCAGGGCCTCACAGCCAGATCATGCCCAAGAAAATGGGCTTTAAAACACTTGCAATTTATGATGAACAGATATTCTATTATTCTGCTCCCTGAAACTCTATATTTGGCCTTGAAAAAAATGCTTTAATTTCTCTCCTTCTCCATGTTTATCAACAAGATGCTAATGTTTATAAATGACATCCCAGGGAGGCGGCGACTTGGGGAGAAGTAGGATTTCTTACAAGGACCCTCCCCTCTTTCTATCCTCTTCCCTTTAACCAGTGTCCCTCCTTCCGCCCCCCAGCCCCCAGTAGCACAAGGTTGGTTGGGCACTGGCGTTCCCACTCAGAGCAGTTCCCGGGCCAGTCATGCTGCAGGCAGAGGCCCCACCCTCTGTATTCTCAGCCTGCTTTCAGATGTGTTCGTTCCAGCAGCATGCCGGGATGCGGCGCAGTCAGAAGCACGTGTGTGACTGGGGATAGATTTTGGCTCCATTTCTTGGCTCGAAACCTTGTTTGTCTCTTAATGGAAGGTATTTTGGCTCGCACTGCCTGCAGTTAAAAAAAACACAAAATTGAGCAGACCGCAGCCCGCTGTCCCTGATTTTAGAAACGGGCTTGCACACAGGTGATTGTTCACTGTCATCTGACCATTAAACACAGTCATAAATTTGACTGAATTTCAGTAAGGGCATAACTTGCTGAAAGCCACATCCTTATTGAGTCCATGAGCAAGACCAAAGTTAGGAAGTTGGCTGCATCCCCCAGGATCTGCATCCTGGTTATTAACCTTTTGTGTAATTGCTCTTATTTGCAACCCAGGCCCATATCTAAGTACCAGCTGTTCACAAGCATGTTCCTCCATTTCTTTCTTCCCTTTAGTGTTTAAAGAGGCATTCTCACCCTTAACCACCAGCTATTCCTGAACAAATAGGATTACAGATGTTAGCCCTGGAAGGCTCCCTGAGTGAATCTGTCCAGCCTCCTAATCACAAGAAGTGAGGCCCAGTGGTGACCTGGGCAGGGACACAGGCACTTCTGTTACTGGGTACAGTTAAACGAGAACCTGGGCACCCTGGCTCTCAAGTCAAAGGGCCTCCCCACTGCTGCACATGTAGAACACCAATCACATGTAGAAACTTCTAGAAATACTTTCATATGCTTTGACAAGATGATTTTACTCTTCTACCCTCATTCTCTTCTGCAAACTTAGAAGATCAGGTGACCCCTAAGATCCTTCCATTTCCAATTTTTTTTATTCCTCTGAATATTCATTGTGGTCAGATCCAATAAAATTCACTGTTTTTATTACTACACATTTTTTGTTAAATGTGTATGATAAGCCTACTTATCAAATTGACCTCATGTTTTATGAAATATGTAGTATTTATATTCATTTATTTGAGAGACAAGTATTGAGCTTTCAACTAATAAGCACTATGGAGATACAAACATGAGCGATAGCTTTGTCCTTAATGTGTAAACATAGGCAGACACTGAGTTACAAACCTTTATTTAAGTTGAAATAAAAGATGCCTTGCTTTTTCACTCTTACTTTCTAAGCAGATTACTTTTCATAGTAGAATGGTAAGTGGAATAATAAGAGCCATTGGTCTAGCCTGTATATCGCCAACCTAGAGAGACAACTAGTTTCTATGTCATGATGCAGTATACTCTCAGAAGAGGCAGGCTGTCTGCTGCAATCTGTATAAACTTAAAACACAGCCAAGATTCAACTTCTGTTGAAGTCAGCCTAATCTTTAAAAGTCAGACAGCATTAGTGGTTGGACTCAGGTCACAGGCTGAGTATAAAATCTGTACTTTTTGATATAGATGCAACCTTATACTGGGAAGACTTCCTGTTGAAATCACAGTCAGTTAGTAACTATTTTAACATTAAATATTATGCAGTTTCCAGTTGTTGAAATATCTGAGATGCTGTCTCACCAGTTCTGTTTAGTAATCCTATTCCTGAACAAATAGGATTACAGATGTTAGCCCTGGAAGGCTCCCTGAGTGAATCTGTCCAGCCTCCTAATCACAAGAAGTGAGGCCCAGTGGTGACCTGGGCAGGGACACAGGCACTTCTGTTACTGGGTACAGTTAAACGAGAACCTGGGCACCCTGGCTCTCAAGCCAAAGGGCCTCCCCACTGCTGCACATGTAGAACACCAATCACATGTAGAAACTTCTAGAAATACTTTCATATGCTTTGACAAGATGATTTTACTCTTCTACCCTCATTCTCTTCTGCAAACTTAGAAGATCAGGTGACCCCTAAGATCCTTCCATTTCCAATTTTTTTTATTCCTCTGAATATTCATTGTGGTCAGATCCAATAAAATTCACTGTTTTTATTACTACACATTTTTTGTTAAATGTGTATGATAAGCCTACTTATCAAATTGACCTCATGTTTTATGAAATATGCAGTATTTATATTCATTTATTTGAGAGACAAGTATTGAGCTTTCAACTAATAAGCACTATGGAGATACAAACATGAGCGATAGCTTTGTCCTTAATGTGTAAACATAGGCAGACACTGAGTTACAAACCTTTATTTAAGTTGAAATAAAAGATGCCTTGCTTTTTCACTCTTACTTTCTAAGCAGATTACTTTTCATAGTAGAATGGTAAGTGGAATAATAAGAGCCATTGGTCTAGCCTGTATATCGCCAACCTAGAGAGACAACTAGTTTCTATGTCATGATGCAGTATACTCTCAGAAGAGGCAGGCTGTCTGCTGCAATCTGTATAAACTTAAAACACAGCCAAGATTCAACTTCTGTTGAAGTCAGCCTAATCTTTAAAAGTCAGACAGCATTAGTGGCTGGACTCAGGTCACAGGCTGAGTATAAAATCTGTACTTTTTGATATAGATGCAACCTTATACTGGGAAGACTTCCTGTTGAAATCACAGTCAGTTAGTAACTATTTTAACATTAAATATTATGCAGTTTCCAGTTGTTGAAATATCTGAGATGCTGTCTCACCAGTTCTGTTTAGTAATCCTAAGTGACTTTTGGTCTACAGATGCATGTAACCCGGATTCTTTCTGCAACCAAGCCACCCCACCACCTTCTGTACAGTCCTACATGGATGCTGCTTTCCTTCTGGACAGCTCCCAACATGTGGGAAGTGCCGAATTTGAAGACATAAGAGGCTTCCTGGGAGCACTGTTAGATCACTTTGAAGTCAGCCCAGAGCCCAAGACCTCTGTCACTGGAGACCGGGTGGCCCTATTAAGCCATGCTCCCCCCAACTTCCTACCCAACACTCAGAAGAGTCCTGTTAGAACCGAGTTCAACCTTACCACCTACAACAGTAAACACCTCATGAAGAGGCATGTGGAAGAATCAGTCCAACCACTAAGTGGAGATGCCTTTATCGGCCATGCCTTGCAGTGGACTGTGGACAATATCTTCTTAAGTACACCCAATCTGAGAAGAAACAAAGTCATATTTGTGATATCTGCTGGGGAAACCAGTCACTTGGACAGGGAAACTTTAAAGAAAGAATCCTTGAGAGCCAAGTGCCAAGGCTATGCCCTGTTCGTGTTTTCCTTGGGCCCTGCCTGGAATGACAAGGAGCTGGAGGAGCTAGCCAGCAGCCCTTTGGACCATCACTTGGTCCAGCTTGGCCGAGTTCATAAACCTGACCACAAATATGGTGTGAAGTTTGTGAAGTCCTTTATAAACTCCGTCAGGCGTAAGTCATAAAATCTGTTAAGAGCACACTTGGTATTCCCAAAAGTAGAGTTGATGAGCTAACACGGATTCTTGGAAACTTCTGTCCTCACGGGCATGGCAGGGTCAGAAAGGAAAGTATGTAATCATGGATGTGGAGGGAGGAAACCTCTGATTCCTAAGCACTTAATTTTTTGGCTCATCTTTTTTATTCCTCTGTTCCTATGGAGACACAATCATAACAAGGAGCTACTCACACATCTGTCTGCCCGGAGCAGTATAGCTGTGGGGTATGAGCCACAGCCAGGACTTTAGCTGCTATGTAAAACCCTTCCGTGTAACATTCACACACTATCCTTTGATGGAAAGTTTCACCAGTTAACGTGCCAAAAAAGAAAGCCAAAGAAAAATTCAACAGTTCTTTGGCTTTGCTTCTACAAGTTACAAAGGCAGAGTTTGAGCATTAGGAGACACCATTTTACCTGTCAGGAGGAGAGATACATCCCTGCAAGTTTCTCAGCCTCTTTAATGGCTTTTTATGAGGCCAGTAATTAGTATAACTGGTGGCCATAAAAAAAGAAACATGAGGTGTATTCTTAGAGTGAGCGTGTGCCTTCAAAGGATGCAGTGCATTTTGAATGCAGCAGGATGGGTAAAAGGAAGCCATGTCCTGGCACAACTGTGCAAGTTGAAAAGCACTCAGTAGGATTTCTGAACGTTTTCCTAGTGAACGAGCCCTTGGAGTTCAGAGGAAAAGTGAATACCCAGTGTAGCTTAAGGGAGATTCAGATTGTGTCTCAAACTTGTCACTGACGTGCACAGCAAGACCAGGGAGGGCTGCAAAGGCACCAGCTAGTCAGTGCCGGCGGGGAAGTGCCGATGTGACTGGTGTGATGGCCTCTGCTGCACCAGAGTCTCGGGTCTCCCTCCCCCTGCATCCTGAACTAGAATTGGCATTTTATCAAGATCCCTGGATGATTCACATGCACCTCATGGTTTGAAAAACACTGAAAGAGGAGCATTATGAAATATATGTGGATGTGTTCCAGAATAGGAACCAGAAAAGGGAGTTAGAAAAAAGAAGGGGAAAAAAATGGGGCTAAGAGTCATTCCAAAAGAAGGAATCCATGGCATTTGTAAGGGTGAAACACCTGGAAATACTCTGAGAAACGTGTAAAGAAACACTCGTTATGAGCAGAAAAGTTGAAAGAAGTTTAAGACGGAATTTCCTTCCCAGTCGCCCAAAATTCTTTGTGGTGTCTCATGATAATTAGTCAAACTATATGATTAGATAAATGACACCTGATGTTTTAAGAATTACTTGGGGTAGGTGAGAGATCTAAGGTGCTCTTGGAAAGCCATAACTATGACACACTTACCCACCACGTTTCCAGAACTTAAGTGTCTATTAATCTCCAGTCTTTACACTGAAGCTCCCAAAGCACAAGAAGCTGCAAAAGGCTTTGACGCCGTCACGGTGAAGCTGGCACCCCTGGTTCCTCGGCACACCCTCAGACTCACTCCCCCCGCCCCACAGCAGCGCATGTCTGCCAGGGGCCTGCTCAAGCTGCTCACGCCACGCGGCTTGGTCTTCAGGACGCTGCCGTGATGCAGCTGCCTAGTAAGGAACGGCCACGTCAGAGTCAGCACACTGTCTAGGAGAAGCAAAACCACTGACGAACAGCCTGAAGTTTTGGGACAGATAAAAAATTAAACATCAGACTCAGTAAAAGAAATGCTCCCATCCTGTGGGGGAGCGCACAGCCCAGCCTGCCGCAGCGGCCCCCGAGACAGAGCTCCATCCCAGCCCGGGACACGCTGCTACTCACCGCAAATGCGCACCACCAGGAGGGGGCTCTGGCTTTACAAGTTCGACTTAATGCTACAAGGAAATAAATAATACATTTTCTAAGTTTTCCATAAAAAAATGTCTTTTAAATGGTGTGGGAAGAGGCATGCTTTATTATTAGGAAAAATTAATATGCTTCCAAATGAAATGAGCTGCTAATGAATGAAGCTCAGGCTGGCCCTGTGGTTCCTGTTGTTAACGATGGAGACCATAAAGTGAATATCTGTTTCCCTTTACATTTTTAAGTTCCAAAGGAGCAAATGAACAATTACTATTCCGATTAGTTCATGTCAGTTAGAGGACAGACTCTTAGGACTGGCTCATGTTATCTCCTCTAAGTTTGGCCTACTCTAGCAGCTAAGGGCATCTTACTGAAAAGCGAGTTGAATTCTCCACTAGAAAATCAGCAGAGATGTATTTTCTAAGTGCAGTTTCAGTGACCCCCTGAAAAATCCACTTTCATCTCATATGACCACATTGGTTGGTGCATGTTGAAAACAGTGAAGATACCCTTTGCTGTAATGTTAATAGCCATGAATGAGAGACTCATCACAGGTGTTTCTCTTCCCAGGTACAATCAACAAATATCCACCAATAACCTTCAAAACCAAGTGCAACAGACTCAGCTCCACAGACCCAAAGCAGCCCCCACAGCAGCTACAAAGGTATGTCCTGCCTGGTATCACTCAGCCAGCGCACAGGACCCCATCCTCTGCACCCTTCCTATCATTTCCTCCCCCTCCTCTTCTCTTCCTCTGTCCTATTTGGACAAAATCTTTTGCTACATGATGTTAAAATACCATTTGAGGGAACAGAGATAATAAAAAATGGCCAGGTGGATCTGAAAAACAACCAAATAGAGTTATTTTAAAGTAGAAAAATCTAATTATTGTAAGAAAACAGCCAATGGCATGGTAATGAGCATGGCTAATGGCCAAATCTTGGTTTCTAAATATCATGCCCCACTAAAAGGAACCAGGGTTTCTTGAAGACACAGCTAATTCAAGGCTGCAGCAGGAAAAGCACAATGTGAGCCTGGAATATCTGTTATGCCAGAAAGCAAGAAAGTAGTCAAAAGCTACTAGTGTCATGTCAAAAGGGCAAAGGAGCTATTTGAAACAATTCCCAATGGCCCATTTTGGACAATTTAAACAACACAAGGATAATGCTAGTAAAGAATTATAACACATTGAATTTTAAAACTCCACAAGTCTATACAGAGACCCCAAATGGGAGGGGTTGCTATTTTTAATAGAAATGTGCTAGCTAATAAATGTAGAAGAATGATGGAATTAGAAAATCACCAGGTTGTCATCACAGTGTAACAGCTGAGTCAGGCAAAGACCAAGGAATGCTAGAACGATTGGGTGGCAGGTTGCTGGGGAACAGGCTATTCGCAGTCTCACAGAAGCACTCACATATCACTCATTACTAATTACAAAGAGGGCAGTGTACCTCTACATGCTGAGATCTAGCAGTACCCACCTTAACTCAGATCTGATGTATGTGCCTCCCGAGGGGAGGAGGGAAGAGAGACATCACCTCTCAGAGATTCTTGCTGGGAATGTTTGACCCATGTCTAACAGGGAGGAAGCCACTGGGCAATTCCAGAGTGTGGGACATTATTCAGAACAGCTGGGTTTCAATATCATGAACAGCAGCAGAGGGATGTGGGGTACTCTAGAATGGGAGAAGCCAATAAGGTGTAACAGCTGAGTGTAATGGTGTTTACATTGATAGGATCCCAGATCAGGAAAAAAAGGCATAAATAGAATGTAAACAGTGTTAGATATTACTGATTCCAATGGACTTCCTTATGTGTAGCAATACCTTCATGATCCAGTAAGATGTCTTCTTTTTTTTAACACTGTCACTAATTTTTTTCCCCTTCACCTATTTCCCCCATTTCCCCCACCCCACTCCCTTATGGCAACCACAAGTCTGTTCTATGTCTATGAGTCTATTTCTGCTTTGTTTGTTCATTTGGTTTTTTTTTTAGATTTCACACATAAGGGAAATCATATGGTATTTGTCTTTCTCTGCCAAGCTTATTTCACTTAGCATAATACCCTCTAGGTCTACCCATGTTGTTGCAAATGGCAATATATCATCCTTTTATATGGCTGAATAATATTCTATTGTGTATATGTACCACATCTTTATCCCTTCATCTGTCAATGGGCACTTGGGTTGCTTCAGTATCTTGGCTATTGCAAATAATGAAGCAATAAATATAGGAGTGCGTATATCTTTTCAGGTTATTGATTTTGTTTCCTTTGGGTAATTTCTCAGAAGTGGAATTACTGGGTCATATGGTATTTCTAATTTTAATTTTATGAGAAACCTCCATACTGTTTCCCCCACCCCACCAACATTCTCCACATCCTCACCAACACTCATTTCTTGTCTTGTTGATATTAGCCATTCTAACTGGTGTGAGATGTAACAGGCAGGGTAGATAAAAAGAAAGCTATGTGCTGTTAGTTCTGGTGAAGGGGAGCACAGAATACCAAGACAGAGAAACTTAAAAGCAGCCAGAAAGAAAAAGCAGATTATCTACCAAGACACTTTTAGGCTGGCAGCTGAATTATCAGTAGCAATACTGGAATTCACAAACTATTGAGAAACTTTAAAGTAGTGGAAGAAAATTTTGTCAACTTAGAAAACTCTTTCAAAAATAATAGTAAAACAAAGATAATTCAGACAAACAAAAAACAATAGTTCACCTCACAGACCTTTGCTAAAGGAACTTCTAAGATAGTGCTTCAAGGAAAATAAAAGTGATTACAGGAGGAAAGACTGAGATGCAAGAATAGTGAAAGATAAAAATTTGTCAATATTTAGGGAAATCTAAATAGGTGCAATATATTAAAGTACAAGTAATATCTAATTTGAGGGGGCAAAAAAAAGCTGTATTTGTTAACAAAGCTATAAAAATGAAACATTTGGAACCTGGTGGTTTTACCAGAAAAAAAGTTGTACTATAAATATTAATAAGTATGTATTTAAGCATGAGAAAATACATTGAACAATAAAATCATCTTTTGTTATTTAAAAAAATGCCTTATACATCTCAGGCAAGGGATACAAGAGCAAAAATAAGTAAGTCGGACTACATCAAACCAATGATTTTCTGCACAGCAAAGGAAAGCCATCAACAAAACAAAAACTGTATGGGAGAATATATTTGCAAATAAAATATCCAATAAGGCTCTATTATCCAAAATATATAAAGAACTCATACAACTCAACATCAAAAAACAAATAATCCATTTAAAAAATGGGCAAAATACCTGAATACACATTTTTCTAAAGAAGACATAAAAATGGCCAACAGACACATGAAAAGATGCTCCACATCACTAATTGTCAGGGAAATGCAATTCAAAACCACAATGAGGTATCACTTCACACCAGTCAGAATGGCCACTATCCAAAAGACAAGAAATAACAAGTGTAGGTGAGGATGTGGAGAAATGGGAACCCTCCTACACTGTTGCTGGGAATGTAAATTGGTGCAGCCACTGTGGAAAACAGCATGGAGGTTCCTCAAAAAAACAAAAATAAACATACCGTTTGACACAGCAATTCCACTTCTGGGAAATTACCTGAAAACAAAACCACTAATCTGGAAAGCCATATGCACCCCTATGTTTATCACTGCATTTTTTACAATAGTCAAGATATTGAAGTAACTCAAGTGTTCATCAATAGATGAATGGATAAAGCTGTGCTATGTCTATACAATGGAAGATTACTCAGCCATAAAAAAGAAAGAAATCTTGCCTTTGCAACAATGTGGATGGACCCAGAGGATATCATTCTAAGTGAAAGAAGTCAGATAGAGGAAGACAAATGCCATATGATTTTATTTATATATGGAATCTTAAAACACAAAGCAAAAAAAAAAAAAAAGAAACAGACCCAGAAATACTGACAACACTCTTGGTTACCATAGGGAGGGGGCTAGGTGGGTGGGAAAAATAGGTGAAGAAGATAAAGAGGAACAAACTAGAAATTATAAAGTAAGCTATAGGAATGGAAGTACAACATAGAGAATATAACCAATAATGATATAATACCTTGGTATGGTAATGGGGTAACCACACTTACCGTAGTAAGTATCTAGTAATGTATGTAATTATTGAGTTACTATTTTGTACATCTAAAACCAATATAATATTGTGTATCAGCTATATTCTGATAATCAAAAATGAACTATTGAGCCATAAGGGTAAAAAAGGCAGTACCAAAAAAAGCAACATAATGTATGTCATGTGGGGTGTATGGAGTTGAAGGGTTCCAGGGACATGTGCCGTCTGGGCAGGTGGTTACGCCGTGGAAAAACTTTACTCTCTTAAAAATACCTTAAAAAAATTTAGGGCACACACCAGAAAAAGACAAAGAGATAGAAGGTAGCTAACTTCCAAAAATGTAAGAAGGGAAACTGGAATAGAAACAAAAACAACATAATACATATTTTTTTAAATAAAAAAAGGCAAGAAAGGAAAAAAGGACAAGTGGAAAGAAAGCGCAAAGAGAGAGCAGGATCAGATCCACTTAGGCACATCAGTAACCACAGAAATACGGAAACCAAACATCCGGTTATAATCAGGAGCTGATGCCCTAAGAAACTAAACACAATCCAGCTGTAACTTGCAGCAGACACAGCTACAAAACGAGGACATATAAGTAAAATCATGGAAAAAATATACCAGATATGCATTTTAGAAGGAAGTTGGACTAGCTGTATTCATACAGATAAAACATACTTTTAAACAAAACCATTCCGTAGGGATAAAGAGAGTCACTATATAATAACAAAATACTCAATTCATGAAGAAGGCACAAGTGTCCATTTACAAGAAGGTGATAAAATAAATTTAAAATATGCAAAGTGGAAGTTGAAAAACTACAAAGAGAAACTGCCATTGAACTATCACCAGAGTCGGAGATTTCAGTACACCCGTTTGGGCGCTGATAGGTCAAGCAGACAAAAATGAGTGAAGATGCAAATTTTAGACTCCTGCATAGAAATATGAGACACTCTTCCAAAAAATTCACGAACATTAAGTGTTGAATCAAGGTGGAGAGTTTACATTGTGCATCTGTAACTTACCAAGCATCAACAAACCTCAAACAAGTGACATGGTATAATCCAAATGGTTTGATCACAATGCAACTAAGTTAGAAATCAATAAAAACAGTATTTTTCAAGCCCATATATTTTTAAATTAAAATCACTTTTCTAAATAACTAATGGCACTTCAGTCTCAGTTTCATAAATAACTAATGGCACAAAATTCAAAATGTAAACTTAAAAATACTTAGAACTGTATAACTATAAAAATATTACATCCCAAACCTTGTGGGATACATCAGATTTAATAATTTAGTAAAGTTTTAGGTCTTAATTCTTCTTTTAACAGAGAAAAAATTTTAAACTCTACAAGCTAATGAGCTAAACATTGCTCTTAAGATATTATAGAAAGAAAAAGAATATACCCAAAGGAAGAAGAGTAGAACTTACTTTTTTTATATCCTAATAAAAAAATGTTATTGACAAAAGCTAGTTGTTTTAAAACTTCACTGGCCAGGAGCCCGGGCTGGGCTGGAAGCTGGGAAAATGTCCGGCGGCAGACGCTACTGGGATCCGGCCTCGGCA